CGTCCAGATAATTTTCTTATTACCGTTGTATTATACACCAATCACAATAAAGACTCAGTCGCATCACTGTTTTCAACATACGTATGATCTATCTGTCTCTGAAGAGTATAATAACGCAGAAGAAACATCCAATACAAGTACTCCGTCTGAATTTCAGTTCAACATAACTGTCAAGAACTATGAAACTGTTAGTAGAGGTGACACATTTGTTTTTCCTCACATCTCTCTATGTTCATATGTGATTTCACTCATCCAATGGCCTCCAATAGTTAAAGTGAATAGCAAACTAATTATGACACTACTTACTCTAAAGAGATTTGGCAATTATTCTAACAGACGGGCACTAATTGTTGGCGATGAACCCATCAATTGATAGCATCTAATGTTACTGCCCCGCCCTTCTTCTTCCTTTTATAGATTATATTCGGAAGGCTAGAGTCGCCAGTGACCTTTGTAACTCCCTGTATAGTTTTTTTAAATGGCAAACTATCTTTGAACTAGTCACTTTAGCCAGCTATATGTTGTCAGGCGTGCATTCATATTTTACTCTGCGTGTCTTCTGTTACCGACAATGAACAGTTTAATGTCCACCCGTTCATCTGTTGGCCTTGCAATAGCTTCTGTGGCATCTGTTAGAGTTGTATCTATCTCTTACGATTCGAACTGAGGTTAGAGGTTCTTTGCTTATTTCTGAAAAAGACAGAATGGCAGTGTGAGAAGAAGAGAAAGAGGGAAAGAATAGCTAACTAAGAATGGATGACTGCTGTAGTGCTGTTTGAGTGCCGTCTGGTCCTCTTTATGGTCTGTATGCTCTCACTGTCCTCTGACCGATCAATAAATCGCCTTGTATGCATCTGATTTCAATTGCCTTCTGTATATCCGTTTTTACTTTTGCAGTCAAATCACGCTTACACATTCATTACTGGTTCAGCTGATTACGAAAGAACTGAAAACTTATTTTCTGCTGTAACATGAGCTTGCTTATTCATGTTTGCTTCCAAGCATGATAAGCATAATTATTATTTTTCGTTTTCTATAACGTTGGCACATCTTTGATCTTCATCCGATTGCTTCAACTAACCTCTGTATCTCAATCCATCCTCTCTTCTCTCTTCTTACTCTACTGTCTTGTCGTTTTCTGAACTGCCAGGCTTTTCGTTACACTGTGCGCTTTGGGGATATAGAGCCGCAGAGGCCATTTGCCCCATGTCTCTTCCTTTCGCCCACGCCTTCTATGTTTATTGATTTGAATAACTTCTAAACTTATTGTTTTGCTTTCTTTGATGTCCACTGATAACTTCCTTTCACTCTGCTTAGCGCGCAAACTCTGTTTTCTCAAAGTTTACTTTCCGAACTACTGATAAAGGGTCAATTTCGTTAAAAAACATTTAATTTTGATTGATTTTCCGACATCCCAACATCTAAGATTAGGTCAGCTTAAGGAAAAAACATCTTTCTTCAATAGTAGACGTTATGATCGATCAATCACTTACCTTATACGGTAAGATGTTTTTATTTGCATAGTATACAAGAAGCGTTTTTAGAGACGCGCCAGTTTTGCCGTAGCTCTTTGCTCCTTTGAACTAACACTGAAAGATATATTTTATGTATTTTATTAATGCTCGTATGGCACAGTTCCGTTTTTGTTCTCGCTTTTACGGGGTTTCTTTACGCTCGTCGATGTTTTTTTCTTTAGCAGTCGTAGGCGTTGCTAATGATGAATCATAGCTGCAGCATATGTTCGTCTGAAACATCCAATATTTCTTCTTGATTCGCCTACTCGTTTACTTATACATTTCTATCCTTTTTTGGCTTTCACAGCTTTCGTAATCATAGAGCTGTTGATGCTGCCATTGCTCCTCATAGTCCTCCCCCTCATTCAGGCCGAAGGATCACCGAGCGTTGTGTTACACTGTGTGCAAAGCATTTCGATCGAAATCTGTTCAGTTTATATCCGATAGACTGACAAACTAGAAAGTTTTTTTTGCCTTTTTTTCAGTCAAGTTGAGATGTTTTTCGTTTCCCTCACTGAACATGCTTTAACTAATGATAGTTTGTATGGGGGATTTCATCAACATCACTTTGACCTACTCTTCTCTTCTATTTGCTACGTAGCCGTTGTATGTCGTTGCTTTCAATTTTGAACATCTTTTTCTCCGTTTCGTTTTCTTATTTGATTTCTCTTTTAGTTTGTTGTGCTTCAGATAACATCACAAGAGCTGGTGTGTGTAGGGTAACATAAAGCCTAGGTTAGCAGGTAATTCCTCATTACCTTTTGACATGTAACTTGTTTCTTCAGAATAAAGAATGCGGGCATTACTGCTTGTTTCTTTTTTGAGCGCCTGTTTGGCTGCTGATGTCAGTGATTGGAAAACAGGAGATGGTATGTTTTCCTTCAATGGTCCTTATTAATCATTTGTTGCAGTCACGGGAGAAATAGTTGAAAAGAAAGATTTTCCTTGTTATTCATTATCTCGAGATAACTATACTTGTGGAGCTTGTATTCAGTTTCATGAGTCTTGTGCTTGGTGTGGAGCTCCAGTACGTTCATGCTCTTTCTATTGTTTCTATCAATCATGTTTTGCAGCTCTTTGATCAGAAAAAGCCTTTCCCTCGCTGTGATAACAGAGCTAGCCTTCTTGAACATGGTTGTCCTGAAAGTTACATCGAGGATCCAGAAACTAAGCTGGAGATCGACAGAAATGAACCTTTGACTAATCAAGGTGAAGCCGAGAAGGAAGAAGATGCTACTCAACTTAAACCTCAGGAAATATTTGTTGAAATCAGGCCAAGTGAGTTGGTTTCGAAATATCTGATTCATGTTATTGTTTAGAATCTCGTGTTCGTTTTAATGTAACATATCGCCAAGCTGTTGATTATCCTGTTGATCTTTACTATTTGATGGATCTGTCATACTCCATGAAGGATGACAAGAAGAAACTTTCCGAATTGGGAGACCTTATCGGTATGCCATCAAACTCCATATATACTTCTATTTTTTAATTTCAGCTGAACGTATGAGATCCATCACCAAAAACTTCCGTCTTGGTTTCGGTTCTTTCGTCGATAAGAAGCTGATGCCATTCATCGATCCTCGCCCAGAGAAGCAAAAATCACCATGCCCAGAGCCTTGCGCCGAGCCTTACGGATTCAAGCATCAAATGACTCTCACCACTAACACAGAGAAGTTCAAGGTAGGTCTGTCTTCTATTTCCTTTTTACAATTGTAACTTTGAAGGCTGAAGTAGACAAGGCTGAGATCTCAGGAAATTTGGATGCTCCTGAAGGTGGTTTTGATGCTGTTGTTCAAGCTTTAGCTTGTAATGTAAGCTAGCGTACATACTTGTTCTTATAATCTTTTTCCTTATGTTTAGCAAACAGGATGGAGAGAACGCGCCCGTAAAATGATCGTTTTCTCTACTGACGCAGGTTTCCATTTTGCCGGAGACGGAAGAGTATGATTGAGAACTCAGGACTATATATATGTTTTCTTTTCAGTTAGCTGGAGTTGTTGAACCCAATGATGGTCAATGTCATTTGGACAATCATGGATACTACACTGAGACTCTCAATCAAGTATGTTCCCCTACCATGGTATGACCATATTCATTATTCATTAGGATTTCCCATCAATCGCTCTTCTCCATCAAATGATCAAAGAGAGAAAAGCCAATATCATCTTTGCTGTTACCCAAAGCAACAGAGAACTTTACACACAGGTAATATAAATGTCGTTAAAAAATCAACAGTAAGGTTATAATTCTAGCTCTCTGAAGCTCTCCCTGACGTCTCTTCATCTGTAGGAGTTCTTGCTAACGACTCCCGCAATATTGTCGAACTGATTGCCAATGAATATCTTAAGATCAGTGAGAAGATCATCATGGTAGACAATGCTAACGTCAGTGATGGACTCAAGCTCTCTTACAGAAGCATGTGCTTAGAGTAGGTCATCACTCTTCTACTAGCTCTATATTAACTTTTCAGCGGAACAACCTTGAAAGATACCAACGTTTGTGAGGGAATCCGTGTTGGTGATGAAGTTCAGTTTGAGGTTTGTTGATCAGTTCATAATCGTTTGGAGAGTTATATCTTCAGGTTACTCTTGAAAACACTCACTGTGTTGACAAGCGTGATTTCGTTCTTCGTATTGGACCTTCTGGATTAGATGAGACTCTTGTTGTTAACGTCAAAGTCTTGTGTGACTGTGATTGCGAGAATGAGGTTGGTTCATTAGTTACTTGACATAACATGAATGCTGACTGTAGGACCGAATTGTCAAAAATGCCGAAGAATGCCATGGAGGAGATCAAGTGTGCGGAGTATGCCGTTGTAAGAATGGACATGTTGGTAAATACTGTGAATGTAATCGCCCAGGAATGAGCACTGCTGCTTTGAACGAGAAATGCAAACGGTTTGTTTGCGTGTCGCAACTAGTCTTTCATGATTTCATTTCAGTACTAATGAGTCTGCCATCTGCGAGGGTCGTGGAGTTTGCAACTGTGGTAGATGTGAATGCAACCCCAGATCTGTAACGTCCAATACATCAATGAAAATAACATTTGAACAATTTAGAACCCAGAAGAACAAATTTCTGGAGATTTCTGTGAATGCGACAACTTCAACTGTCCCCGCCACGATCGCAAAATCTGTGCTGAACACGGAGATTGTAACTGTGGTCGCTGTATCTGTGCCCCTGGATGGACTGGTATATAACAGTTATATTTGTGTTTACAACAAATCTGTATTGTAGGAAGAGCTTGTGAGTGCCCAATCAGTACTGATTCCTGCCTCTCAGCCAATGGAAAGATTTGCAACGGAAAAGGAGAATGTATTTGTGGAAGATGTCGTTGCTTCGACGGACCAGATGGTAACCGATATTCCGGAGCAAAATGTGAAATTTGCCCAGTAAGATTCAATCCGATGAGCAATCAACAAACTTTGATATCATTTAGACTTGCCCAACTAAGTGTATTGAATACAAGCCTTGTGTTATGTGCCAAATGTGGAAGACGGGACCATTCAATGAGACTCGTTGTGACGAATGTCCATTCAAAGTCATCCCTGTTGACGAACTCCCAGGTGAGAATCATGAATTCCAACTCGAAGCTTAACATGTTGTTCAGTTCTGAATGAAACTACCTCTTGCCAGTTCGTCGATCCTGCAGATGACTGTACTTTCTATTATTTGTACTATTATGACGAGAGCGCTGATAATGCTACCGTGTGGGTCAGAAGACACAAAGGTTCGTGTGAATCGAAATGCTCAACTTATCATATTTGTCTTAGATTGTCCTCCCCCAGTTCCTGTTTTGGCAATTGTTTTGGGAGTCATTGCTGGAATTGTCATCTTAGGAATCATTCTTCTCCTCGTCTGGAAACTATTGACAGTCTTACATGACAGAGCTGAATATGCCAACTTTGCGAACGATAGGTTGATGGCTAAATGGGATACTGTAAGCTTTCCAATTGTTCTTCTTTGTTCATCATGTGTTACAGAATGAGAATCCTATCTACAAGCAAGCTACTACGACATTCCGCAATCCTGTATATGCCGGCAATAAGAACAAAGGTTTATAAACTGTTTCTAATGGTCTTATCTACTAACTTTCAATGAGCAAACGTCTTAAGACGAATTAATCAAAATGTTTTTATGTTTTCATTGTTGTGACATATTTTAATATTTCTAGTAAAAGGTGCTTTAAATGAACTCGAGAGTGTTCGAACACTCATTTTAGATTTGTCGATTAGCCTTTGTTGACAAAGGGTTTACATAATAAATATTGATTATATATATATATACGTGTATAGTTTGTATGAAATTGAAGAGAATCAAATCAACTTTGACTCAACAGAGTCATAGGCCTGGCCTAATCCGAAGTTTCTTCCTCGAAGAAGACTTAGAAGATCAAATGATCAAGAGGAAAGTTTGCCATAGACGCAAAGCATTCCTTAGCAGAAGCAAACCATTAGGAAAGACAAAGTATGAAGTGGTAAACATATAATCAGAGGTCAATTGATTAGTTCCGAATGTATAACCTCACAGACACGGAGGTTTCCTTCAAAGGATATACGTGGTTAAAAAACAAGTACATCTGCGGACATGACCCCGCTTGCGGCATTGACGTAAACCGTAAACGGCAAACTAGGAATACGAATATCCAGAGATCATAAGTTTTGAAACAAGCTGGCATTATCTATACTCTCGGTAGTATTCATCTATTTATGATCTTTGATCTACAGATATCCTCCAGTGCAGTATCACATGCTGGGTCTACTTACGAATTGATTGCTCCAGTGATCCAGATCAATTTATGCAAGATACTAATTGCGATAAAGGGTATATTTCAAACAAAAACAAAAACATCTTCAAAGCCTACGTGATGAAAGATAGAACGTGTCAAGAGAGTGTTCCCACTCGTTCGGGACCAGATACGTTTCAGACTTCAACAGTGTAATATCCGACCTCATGCAACATCTATCCCTCCGAAAAGGGGCCTTTTGAACAGACGACAGGACATCTATTCAGAAACTCGGATAACTAGGTAAGAGAGAGAGGGATTACATAATGGTCTGGAGAGAAACACCATAGATAGATGGCTATACATTTTTTGTTTTGACAAAAGAAAGAATCGGCAGCTTTGGGAGAACTACATGGTTTCGAGAAATGCCAGTGCCACTTCCATGGTTCATTTCCAGGAAAATGAGTGCTGAGCATTGTTCCATTTCGCAAAAATAGGATTTCAATCTTCAAGTCTTAAGGCGACTCGACGGAGGATACAACTCATTAGACGTGACGATGGAGGGTATACTTCTCACACACACGAATAATGCGTCAACGAGTAATAGAGCGAGCAGGTAGAAGAACAGAGAATGCTGTGAAAAATAGATTTATTGATTACTTTGCATTAAAGTCACTACAGAAACATCTATAACAAACACTATTTAGCCCCTAGACATACACAGCTTCCTTCTCGTTGAAAACAGTTTGACCTTTCTTCTGTACAATAGGAGGTGATCTGAGAAAAAGGATGTAGAACGAGTCATTGCAATGAAACCAAACCTGAGAGGAAGGGATGGTGGAGGTAGTTCTCCGTATTGTTCTTCGTAATACTTGTTGAAAGAACGGTAGAAAGCTTGTTGTCCTCCGGCAAACTCAAACTCAGTCAATCGTTGGACTCCTAAATCGGCAAGAGTTCGTTCACCAGAGAGCACGTCGTTTTGAACTTCCTAAGAATTGTTTTCAGCGATTAATAAACTGTTCTGAACTGTAAACTAACGATATACTCCATCCATTCGCGATTGAGAGGGACTTTGCATTTGAAAACTTTTCCGTAGAGTTCAGTGGCAAGTGTGAGAGCCATGAAGTATGGATCGGGCAGATTGTGTCTTTTGTAGCTAAAAAAAACACATGTTAGAACTGTTTTAATCTTTTGAGTTACTGGAATCCAAATTCTGGGAGGCAATGAGCTTTCTTGTACATGAAGTCCATAAGTTCGCTGAGTTGGTAACAATGAGGGCCAACGAACTCATACAATTTTCCGGCGGTAGTGGGATCACGAACGATACGATCAATACCGTGAGCTACATCTCCTACCCAAATAGGCATTTTGTATGTGTGTTCTCCCTTTTTGTAGAGATAAACATGGTCCAAAGGAGTCTTACGCCATCTGCTGACATAGTACTGAAACGAAATATCATATCTGGAACTATAGCATGCACTATACCTGGATGAATCCATCAAGTTCGCCATAGATAACAGAAGGACGGACAATTGTGGCTTCTGGGAACTCCTCGCGAACTGCGATTTCTCCAAGTCCCTTAAGTAAGGTGTTGAATAAAGAGCGTGAAACGATCGAACCTTCGTTCTTAAAAATTCACTCTTTCCTACAAAATGTCCTTTCTCAGGCTCAGGAGTAGCACCAAGAGCGGATAGATGAATGAATCGTTCAACTCCCATCTCTTTGCAAATCTTAGCAAGTCTGCGAGCCCCGATTTCGTGGGTTTCAGCGTAGGAATAGTTTCTGAAAGGCTCATAATGAATTTTATTAAGAAAGTCTTGCTGTACTTGGTAGGTACTCTGGTTCCGATCAAATTGATGACGACGTTCGAGTACTTCACAACCTTTAAAAAAAATTTACTTAGAATAGGTAGTATAAACAAACCTTTCGGATGGATTCTTCATCTTTCAACTCGAATGGGAAGAAGAGAACCTGACCCAACTCTCCAGGTACCTTCAATTCTCTAACATAGTAAGGGTCTTGTCTAAAAACATTGGTAAGGAAACTAATCAACTCAAAAAGTCAAACCTGTATGGTATGATGATCTGAGACCCGACTTTGGCTAATCTATTAACAACTGGCAAACCGAGGTGACCAGTTGCTCCGAAAACGGTGACAACGTTTCCTGAGAAGGAAGCCCTACAAAGCAGCTGTATGAAAAAAGATTCAAAATATATCAGTACCTTCCCCCTCCTCCTCTTTTAAATTTTGCACTTTCCGAACTCTTTGGAGAGTATGGCAATTGATGTTGTGGAGTTGTAGGTGGCCCGCTTCAAAAACAGGAATTAGAATAAAATCTGTTACAACTACTTACGTTGAGAAAAAAGCCACGACGGGCCTCTGGGCCTTTCCAAGAAGAGAGATCATCTATAAAGTAGGAAATTTATGATTCAGAACGGGTACTTCACTATTGAAAAACTTGAAAGCCACTAAACAAAAAGTTTAAGAAATTTAGTTTGTTTGAATTGTTTTCTTTGAGGTCGCAGCTCTACGTCAATTGAAAGATAGCATTGCGTACTAATTTTCAAACGTCAGGTTTACTGTACATTACATTGTACTCAAGACAAGAGCAAGAAGCTTCAAGCTTTGATAGAGCTCCAACTTCTCTAAAAATTGTGGAAAAACCAACAGTAGATGGAGGTTTATACGATTCAGTCAAAGTTTCTCGTGACTTGCTCTACTACTTGCGGAGAATGAGGAAACATTGAGGACAAACTCTTGTATTAGAACGAATTGGAGATAACATATTATATAATCTGATTCTATTCTTCCTGAAAATCCTGAAATTCAGATGAATATCGGGATTTCTTTGCTTAATTCGGTCTCCTCCGCGGCTCAAATTATGCAGCACCGCTCAGTTCAACTGAGTGCAGAAAATGAAAAATATCAGAATCTTATACAGTTTCATTCTCAATTAAATTTCTGAGTTGAGCAGTCGTTCATTAGCTATGGCAGTATTTCATTCGTAACAAACTTATTAGTGAGCGGTCGGTTTACGCAACATCAAAACGATGGTTCCTGCATGAGTTCCAAGCGCACCAGTTAGGTTGTGATCAGTTATGGCTTTGAGTATGAGTGTCCACACTTCATACTTGCTCATTTTGTGGAACACATTCATCAATAGACATAATTGAATGCTTTTGAGAATGAAAACATCAGACAACCTATTGCAAAAGCTAGCTTCGAAGAATCATTTACGCTCCTATTGAAGTTCTACAGTTACCTATTGATCAGTTGTGTTCATAACAATGTTCAATATTGGCATTCTACTGTTTTGAACAGATTACAATACAGCACCTATCAGCTTGACCAGTTTCATTCGGAAGAAGATACGTTATAAACTTGCAGCCATTGTTCCGTTGTTCAAACATCATATATAATTTCCGTTTTTATCCTTCGTTAATTTATATTTTGTTGTCAACAGGTATAGCTAGAGCAAGAGAGTCATAAAGTACTCTCACCGCTTTGATTACTTCACATAGAACTCACTTTATAGGCTCTCTTACAAGGTTTAAAAACGGAACGCGATGGTATATAAGATTGAACAGCGTTCGTTGAATTGTAACAAAGGTCAAGGATTAAGACGCGCTCTACTGCTAACTATGGCAACGCCCCTTTATCCGTGTTGCATCTACCATTTTTTTATTTTGCGTGGTTTGTGACAGTACCGTGTTTTCTTGAATTCGAAATTCTAATTAAAATTATTCTAGATAATGGCTGATGAAGAATTACCGCAGGCATCTGATTCAGAAGTAAAAAGCCCTGGAACCCTTGCACAAGCTAGGAACGTCAATGATGTCGAAGACGTCGATGAAGTCGATGATGAGTTCGACGAAAACGACGATAATGGAGAAGACTATGAAGGTTCTCTTGGTTAGGCATTCAGGTTTTTTCATTTTTACGTTTTTAGCTACATTGGATGAAGAAGAGAGCCTAGCTCAAGAAGACTATGAGGACGAACTCAAAGGTTTGTCTTTGTTCGCTTTCTTTTGTTTTACATTTCACTTCTTTAACTTACATTCGTATATTTTGTATAATTTTTTAGACCTCGAGGATGAAGGTGAAATGTCCATCGAAGAACTCCGGCGTAAATATGGCTATCCAGCAGATGCAGAACCTGCAGCTAACGTAGTGTTATTTCAACTGTAAGCCTTATAATGATATCATTCTAGCCGGATTGTTCTGAAGACTTGGCAGCAGCAATGCGTGAGGCAGAAAATGAGTCTGAAGCAGAAATCGAAGATGAAACTGAAACAGAGACAGAAGATGGTGACTACGCTCCTCCGGACATGTTCAAAAGACAAGTAATCACTCTTATAAGCATCTTTGTATATCAAGCTGTACAGCAACGGATACTTTTAACTCAAGCTGAAATTCCGGAGTTCAAAGGAGACTGTGACGATGAGGCAGAAGACCGTGTGATACCAATGTGGCTACCATCAACTAGTTTAAGTGATTCGGATATCAACGACTTTCTCATTGGAGTACGGAAATATAGAACGGACACGGACGCCACACGTGATCTTAAAGAAAACCAGGTAAACTTATAGTTGAATGAATCGAAAATATCTTTTCTAATCAGTTCCGAGACGAAGAGAAAGCTTTGTATGCTCTGATGATGAACAAGTACGATTTGAATGTCGCGAGGGTTTGTTGTAGTAGTTAAGCTTCTGTTTTCTCAGTTTTTGCTGTAGGATTGCATCAAAGTCAACGGTTTTCCCAAAGTTGCAATTCCTGAGAGAACTATTAGTGCGAACGCCGCCAGATTCACAGAAGAGGAACAGGAGGTCTTTGTTACAGCTTTATTAGAAATAGGAAAAAATTTCTCCGAAGTTCAAAAACAAAAGGTTGGTTGTTGACATTTGATGTTTTCAATGTCTTTGATTCAGATGTCATATCGTCTAGTTGGAGAACTGGTGGACTATTATTACAAATGGAAAAGAACTGGAAGGTTGTCTAGCAAACTGTGTTTCATTTCTTAACCACGTGCTTCTTTAGTTATCGAGAATATCGTGAACGTATATTAAATGGACCTAATCCATCTACTGCTGCTGAAAACTCTAACGAAAACAGCAATGAAGAAGAACTTGAGAAAATATTCTATCAATTCGCCGAGGAGCCTCCTAGTTCTAACTGTACTCCTCGTTCGAACGATCTCCAAAATGATTATATCACACCTAACGATCTCTCCACCCCTAATCAAATATTTGAGAATGACATGATTATCCCCCAGGGATTAATAATTCCCAATGATCTTTTACTTCGAAATCCAATTTCTGAAGCCAACTCTCTTGGTTTAGGATCGGGAGATGCTAATAATCACAATGATAGTAAATCAAATTCCTGGGAGCCCATCTCCCCTAGTGAAGCTGCTAACCCTGAAGCTCATGGCTAACTCTTCAAACTGCTCTAACAACGAGCTCTTTTTGCAAACCAAAATTTCTAACAGGCGCGTGGTTCATATATATATATATATATACATGTTTTGTATATTTTATTTATGTTAAATAATCTGTCGGACCTATTGTGAGCCCTGGATGCATCTGGAGTTATCCGTGTATATGCAAGCATGTTTTTGAAGTTCATTTTCGCGTCAATCGTTTCTAAACAATCTCCCTTAAAAGGAAATACTGAATCTCACCCATCTATTTTGTTATTTGGACCATTAACTCTGATTGGAACTCCCTCCAATAATAATGAAATGTTATATTAACCTCGCAATCTGTTAAAGTAATAAAACAGGCAATATTTATTCGACAATGTTTGATGTGAAACAGACTAGCTTGAGCATGAATAGGAATGAATAGAACATCTTCACAATTAGGATTGAGATATTAGCAGTATAAATGGCAAAATTCAAAAAAAAGAAAGAAAACGAAACTTCAAAACAAGTAAACTTAAGAAAGTCCAATTAAAATCGAAATCGCGACACCGGCACCGATAGCTATCAATGTACATAGCAACATGATGAGAGATTGTATTTTTTGAATCTAAAAATAGAAGCGTAACTTGGTTGCAAAGAGTGGTACATACTTTGGGATCGATTGTAACAACTTCAGATCGACCGTGAGCTCCTCCCATTCGAACCATTTCCATTTCAGCTCCTACTCTGCCTCTGTTTGAGTACCAACCTGGAGAGAAAGAGCACTCTCAATAGTTATGTTTTGCTTTCACTCACTCTTGAACTTCAACAACTCCAAAAGTATCAGAGTGACTCCAACAGCGGCAATGAACGCTATGTAGATACCTAATGCGGCATCACGGTTGCTGAACATTCCCTTGAAATGAACACAAGCAATCATGATGGCAGCGGCTTAATGATAACAATCAGATATCATACAGAAGGGTAAATCTTACCTGCCATTAGCCAAGCTCCAGCTCCTAAAAATCGATGAATCCAGTTGAAAATGAAACGAGCTTTGGCATCGGGGTTGCATCTGGAGTTCTCAATATAAGAACCATTAGCTGCACTCACAAACTACCTGAAGACAGCATTAAGTGGCTGAGCCCAAGCAACTACGCAAGCCAAGAGCCCGAGAATCGAATGAATAGATCCCCATTGTTGATTCTGCAAAAGTAAAATGTAATTAACATATGATGAACGCTTTTCACTTGTTCTTTCGTCTGTGTTGCCTTTGGTCCTGTCCAAACCCAATCGTTCGCGACAAAAATACAAACAAAGCCGCAGATAGTGGCTGCTATTCCCACCATGTTCAAAGTTCGATGAAGCTTAAAGGGGCGTTTAAAATGAGTCATTACATAAATGCACTCACATTGAACCACATTTTTACACCGAGGAAAACTCCCTTAGGCCAGTGATCGCGGAAGTGGCGAGCGAACAGAATACCTGTGGTGAAGAACACAGTCCAAGCCAAGAGCATGAGAATTCCTGAAAATCGAAATTAAATCCGCATAGCATTCATTGCGTAGCTAACCATGTGCCATTTTTAACTTCTGAACTTTAGTCTTGGGTGCATTCCCACTGTCGTTCACTGTAACAAGCTTAACATGCGGGAAAAGACTAAAAAGACAAACATGCTTGAGATTGATCAACTCCGCCAGTAGTATAGACTCGCAAGTTAGTGGAAGGAGAAATAAATTTCGTAGAATGATACTGCAGTACTGAAAACAGAATATGAATCGAAGCCTTTGGAGCGTGACACACCTGGTCGAGAGTCTTGCATGCTCATAGGTCCTCTAGCGGATAGAATGTAGAACTGTCCATTCAAGTTCTTCACGTTACTCTCACCGGGATTCAGTTTTTGTCTGAATTTCAACATTACTCAATCACTGCGGTGATAAACGTACTTAATGCGGCAATAAACGTTCCCATTAGCAGCTTGAGTTCTAATAACCTCCTGGACGCCAGGGATATCCTGAGCAGAATGTAAATTTAAAAAGGAAAAATTTCTTTCTAAACTTACAAGAACAATGTTCGATTTACCTCTGTTGTAACCTAATCCAGAGACAGCACCACCATTCATTTGTCCACAGAAGACAACAGTATCATCTCCCTAAACTGAATGTTATCTCACAATCCCACTTTTCATACCATTCCGCTATCATCTGAGAAACCAATAGCCACATAACTGTTGTCCCCAGCTAATCCTGCAATCTCCATATCCATGGAGTCTCCGTCGATCTAAAAAAAAACGTTATCAATAGCTTCATAGTTTATTAGATCTTACCGTATAAGAGAATGATGTTTGACAGTTACTTCCAGGATCACACCCATTAGGTTGAAACAGACATCCTTTATTACGACCGCAGGCCGTACTATCAAACTGTGCAAAGCCCAGCTGAAACAGAAAAATGGTTTTGCTTACTACTCCCTCTTTGACTACCTGAATTAATGAGGTGAGTAAAAGTAGAGCTAATGTCTGTCCAGATCTTCCGGGTGGTCGTGTCATCTGAAGTAAAGATTTGCAAAGTGAATTAGATTTTTATGCGATGAATCAAATAGGAAATGAAAGAATGAGCAACAAGCAACTATTTTCAAAAATGGTAAATGACTCAAATGTGGAAATCAAAATGTTTCGCTTCTGAACAGCATGTGTCATTCTTGTGTACAAAACTTAGTTCTTTGGACGAAGATTATTTGTATGAGAACTGTCGATGAATAGCTTTGAACCACAACGGTGGACAGACCTCATTTTCGCTGCCGCTCTCACTCCTGAAAACCTTCCCACTGACAAATCGGAGAGAGCAAATAAATGACGGAAGAAGAGAATGCCGGAATTGATAGTATTGAGCGAAAAATCTTTTAATGTCTGTTCTCAAAATCAGATCAAGTCCAAACGCCTGATTCATGAGTGAAAAGTAACAAGACGTGGGCAATTCCAATTCAAGGATAACCTTCAGTCTTTCGTCGGAAGTAGCAATGTCCTTTCAATTCGATTTAAACACCTTCGGAACTAGAATTATTCCAAAACATTTCTCAAGCTACAAAGCTCACATAACAGCTCAGCTGGAGCTCTGAACTTCTCGCTAAGAAAATAGTAAAATGAGTCTAAATATAAGAGTGTGAACGCGAGTACGAAAAACGCAGACGTATTTATATTTTTCTATAAACTCTATCTCAGCCGGTTCATTCAACACTTCTGACTCCCTCTCTCTCTCACTATCTTTGACTATTTAAGAACTTCAAAGTGAAATGAGGTGGAATTCATGCAATTCTGAACAAATTTGAACAAAACATTATTGGCACTATCACATAACGTGTTCAAGAAAGCAGGCTTCATGTTCAACCCTCAGTACCACCTGGTTAGATGAGTATTACTGGGGTAGGAGGGGAGGATCGAGAGGTATTTGTGAAATGACGATTGTTAATGTAAGAGCATACTACTGATGTCATTATGAGAATATAGCATTTGCTTGCTCTACTTCTGAGCACGAAACTGAACAAAACGAACAGCCCAAATAAAAGTAGCAGCAAGTCGAAATAACTCATTTGAAATTGTAGGTTAGATAATGACTATAGCAGGTTGGCAGTCACATAGAGAAGTCAGAGGCTGAGCTAACACATGAGGTTTTTGAAAAAGAAAAGTAACTCATGAAAAGGCTTGCCATCTAACGAGTGAGAAATAAGGCTACTACAGCTTCTCTTGATTGAATAAACACAGGATATTCAAGAGAAGCAATATAAATAACAAGGTATTATTAAATGACAACTTGACCACGTATAGCTGAGACAAAGCATCGGCATCCAAACAATACAACCTCGATATAATGGGTATTTCATCAAAAAATGAAAAAGTCAACGAATCAGAAAAGCGGAAGAAAAAACTTCGCATACACGCACACGCCCTCACTCCAAGGTATGTTATGCTATTGCTCAACGCAGCAATAGAACAGAAGAAAGAGCCGGCCGGAGGCATGAAGGGAGAGCCAAAATAAACATTGGAATAAAACTGGAAACATGGCCTAGAATTGGGTTGAAGCTCTAGCTTTCTTTCTACACTCTAAATACCGCCCGGCTACTTTCTCTCCATTCCTCAAGAATATTTTGAATCTCTCAAATTAATGTAAGCATACTTGCAGACCACTTAATGCACGTCTACTTCGAGCATTGTTACCTAATATGCGTGAATAGTAGAATAACGTATTTATTATTTATTTTATTATATCTGGATTCAATGAGCTACTTCGGTTTCGTACCAGTTGTACGGATACTACATGTCTAAGATGCTATAGATCACTGAAAGTTCTCCAATGCGCAACTTCATTATAATACCAACGATAAACTTAAGCAAAAACCAACTATCCTCACAGTGCGGGTTATAAGAATCTCGCAAATTCGAAATCTAGTATAAACATCTGCTATTAAATCAACACAACCACCTCCCAGCAATTTCAATTCGTTAGAGGAAAGCATAGTGTCATCATCTCTATTATTAAATACAATAATAAAAGAACCCGTTTATGTGACTAAATAAGGAGACCCCCCCCTCCGCAATCATCGACAACAAATGGATATCATCACTCACCTTATTAATGTATAGTTTGGTTTTGATTTTGAACCAACCGCGCGTGCGACACCGACTGTAGAAAAATAAAATTTGAACGCGTGAGAATACACGTGAAGCCGTTGTTTCGCGCCTAACCTTTTAAATATTCCAATTAGGACACAATCCTCATTAAGTTTGGATAAACAGTCTGATCTGAATATGTCGTACCCACGGAAACTTGGTTCAGCTTGTATGCTACAGTTTATCAATCGACGTTTACAAACTGTCTTCTCACCTCCAATCATTCGAGTGGTTTTCTGATTGAGTAAAGGATCTTTTACGGCGAAAGTCATGTAGACGGTGTACTTTTTGTCGTTATAACCCTTTTTTTTTCATCTTAAGATCCTCATCTTTCCAACAGGCTGACGGCTGTCTATTTGCCAACCGCAATATTCTCGTTTGTCCTCAACTACACAGAATGGAAAAGCGGTTCGAACTTAAAAGCGTATTGTCATCACTGCCAGCGTAACATAGAAAAAGTAAATTAGGAAAGATGGGTGTGAAGGAGTTTTCTATGAAGTGGGCACGAAATATGTTTATTATAAATCATAAAAATATAATACATTATTAGTTTTTCATTACAAGATTATGGCATTTGTAATTCAAACTCCTCGTTTACTTGAAAGATCATTGTTGTCTGGAATTCACTATCAAACCCTACAATATACAATTCAAATATATAAATAGAAGAATTATAAATGTTTTGGATTATAAATGAATTTTGCACATTCGAATATGTGATTATGGAATGCTTCGTCGTTTTTGAAGGAATCGCAATGACAACCACTACATATCCTTAATTGCTTGGGCTCATCGAAAGTTTTGAGAGCCCTACAACCATACCCGTAACCCGGCACTCGATCCATATTCATCTGAAACAACGGAATCATTTCGACTAACCAACAACCTCTTTACTGCTTACCGCTATTTCTATAGGCTCCAACACTTCTGCATCTGCTTTACTATGACAATCGGTTTCAGTGAGATGCTCATCGAAATCCGAATAAGTTGGAAACATATTTTTACATGCTGTACATATATAGCCTAGCCTAGACGTCCTGTCCTTCTTAAGAGTACGCGATTAGATAATTTCATTGTTCAACTGCCTTACGAAGATATTTTGCTTTACGGGTAAAGGATCGAACACGTCGTCTGTGGGAATGACTTTTTCGATTTCGGACAAGCCTGTTATCCTCATACATAAGTTTCTGAAGACAAGTTGATCATAAAGATGGTCATTGACTTGTTGCCCTACACTAAGGAGGGAACTCCATATTCCGCTCTGAATTTGAGTTCATGAGACACTCTAATCGGAACTTTGAACTGCAAAAGAATAGAGTAAGTCAAGAAGAAAAAGGCTTCAAACATCAATTCTTTGTGGATTCGGAATTCTTTCCATAACAGCTTGAGCATCTTTTGATTTGCTGATGGCACCGATGGTTACTATTCGGACTTCTGGAAAAAAATGTTTCGTGAGGCTTTCATCGAACTCAGAAGACTCGAGCATTCCCTAGTGTATAGAGAAGTCTCAATTATCTTAGGAAAGCTCGGAAGGAATCATCCATTATTCTTTTCCTTCGTTTTCCCTTTACATCCCGAATGTTCGACGCGTAGACAGAGACTGATAGAGAGAGAGAGAGAGAGATGTTAAAAACGAACCATTTTCAAAGGACAAGACGTGTTTTGATTCATTTCTTTTGGAACATGCGTGATCACGGATGACATGAGTAAACCTGGATGAGAGTGTGCAAATCTTAAAAGCAATTGTCTATTCATTTGCTCTTGACTAGAGTCATGTACCTCACAATAAAAAGGAAAAACCCTCGGAAGAGGTTTTATCTTTTTCATTTTATTTAGAATGCTCTGGTAATGTGTCCTTCTGACTTTAAACCTCTTACGTCTTCTGCAAAAGAGATGAGAATTAATTGATTCAAGACATCGTCTCCTGAAGCTCATTCAAGTTGTCATACTTCTGAAAACTTTGAAAGCCACGAACAGCTGACATCTTCGAGCAATATCTTTCTCTACATTTCCCTTTCTCTCTATCTCCTGAACGAGATAATCGATAAATTATTTCTTGAAACTACCAATTCACGACTACTTTCATGTTTTTCTTCCTATTATCTTCTTTACGCAACAATTTTTCTGAGATCTTTACCTTAAAACTAGTGGCCGTAGTGCTGGATGCACGAAATGGGCATATTGTTTGGGAAAATATCGTAATAACATAATCTGAAAGTATATTTTATTCAGATGAACAGGTTTTGGATCTTCTTGTGTATTATATTTATGTGCCAAAGTTTAACGAACGGAAGAGGTGGTCGAAGGGGTGGCAAAGGAAAAGGAAAAAGTAATCTTCAATTCGCCCAAGTTGCTGAATTCTCATTAATTCAAACTGCCTTAGCAGATAATAGAGTTACGTTTTTTCAAAGTCTCATTCTTTAAAGGTTCTTTAGAGCGCTCAAATACTGACTGGTTCACATTTCAGTCAAACCTTTAGACTTGGCTATAAGCTATTATTGATTTGTAAAGTTCGTTATGGATTTTGTTACGACATCAGCTTTTTTTTCTTCTCTTTAGGCACGGGGTGAACCGCGACCAACGATAAAGTGGTACAAGGAAGGTGCAGAAATATATCCGAAGCCAAACATTCATGTAAGTTCATTGTGCGAAACCTTCCTTCAACAACCTGCCCGTTTAGTATTACGAGAAGAAGTTGCAAGAAGACGTTCTATGGAGTAAGCTAGAGATAGGTTTGTGTGTCGATGATCAAAAATGAAAAAAAAACAAATAAAATCTGTTAAAGATCCAGCAACGATGGGTGATCAAGGAGTTTATGCGTGTGTGGCAAACAACCAGCATGGAGTTATGGCCAAAAACTTTAAAGCAGAATATACATATTAAAATAAACAATAGCTAATGTTCTCAAAAACACAATAAGAAATAAATAAAAGTAAACTGAGCAGAGACTACAAAATGACAAAAAAAAGGACGAAACCGGACTGAAGGGGGTGGTAAACAGAAGAAAACAGTTCAACTGTCGCATACAAGACCGACTTAGTATTCCCTTACTTTTCCTCTTTCTCAATTAATATATTTGAATGGCATCAACAACATTCTAGCAGTTTAGGCGATATATATTTCATTGATTGATAAAAATTTTTAAAAGATTAGAACAATTGATAAGTTCGCCTTATGGTATCCGATGCGCCGTTGCACACCGCTTGGCCTATTGCGAGGCGGTCGCGTTGCGGCTGCAACAGAATACTTCTTTCATCACCGTTTCGTTCTCCTTTGCTTGCGCCTATAATCTTCATGATTAATTTTTGTTTCTCTTCCCCATCATTAAAACACTTTGAAGCTTCTACTCATTTGCAACCTTTTCCACAACTCATTTTCATTTACTTTTCATAGTTTTATAGCGGCGTTTTTTAGGTCAGTGACTGTATAGAAACGCCAGCAGTAATACACTGTCAGCCTACCCTCGCTTTATGTGTCCTGTTGTCGGACACAGCAGAAGCCAAGACGCTCTCGCTATTCATTTTTCTAAGCTTCTAATTCATTTTCATATATTTCTCTCGCTTTTTATATCTACTTCATCATGTTTGCCAACTCCCAGCACACCCTCTCAGTGCTCTTTTGATCATTTTGTTTCGGCGTCTTTTGATTTCGGGAATATTCTTTATCAGTTTTACCTTTTTTGTTACAGAAGATGCAAACAATCAAGTGTGTCGTAGTAGGCGATGGAGCTGTGGGTAAAACGTGCCTTCTTATTTCTTACACAACTAACAAATTTCCATCCGAGTACGTTCCCACAGTCTTCGACAATTATGCTGTAAGTATTTTCTTTAATCCCTTAATTTGCCAGGATTTTTTTTATGTTTTTATTGATTTCTCTCATGTCTCCCTGTTCAGGTAACCGTTATGATTGGGGGTGAACCATACACACTTGGCTTGTTCGATACTGCTGGCCAGGAAGATTATGATAGGTAGGCAAGACGTTTGTGTAACTAATTCCTCATATGACTTTCTATAGACTACGACCACTTTCTTATCCACAAACCGATGTTTTCCTTGTTTGCTTCTCAGTTGTTGCTCCTGCATCATTCGAAAACGTTAGGGAGAAAGTATGTTTCAGCATATTATTGATTTAATCGTTCCGTCATTTTTAGTGGGTGCCAGAAATTGCCCATCATTGTTCAAAGACCCCATTCCTTCTTGTTGGAACTCAGGTTTGATCGGAATCTCGAGCATTTCAAATATTGAAATGATGATGTTCAGGTTGATTTACGCGATGATCCTAATATGCTCGAAAAGTTAGCTAAGAACAAGCAAAAGCCAATATCTGCTGATGTTGGAGAGAAGTTAGCTAAAGAATTGAAGGCTGTTAAGTATGTTGAGTGTTCAGCTTTAACACAGGTTAGCTGCTTTTGCATACGTGTGTCACATAATCTGCGGATGTGTTTTTAGAAAGGATTGAAAAACGTTTTTGACGAGGCTATTCTTGCTGCTCTGGAGCCACCACAGCAAGAGAAGAAGAAGAGGTGTACTATCCTATAAGTTTCACAGTGAGAAATAATTTCTTTTGCGTACTCTTGTTAGCACGTTATAAGCCGAACCTCCAATTATATAAATACCTTATATTGTATTGCCGTTCTCCACTAGTGCAGACCATACTCAGCAGCTCTAAATCTATAATAAAAGAATTCTATAATTCTTCGTTTCGATAGCACTTTGTTTTTGAACAAACTCTGCGACGCTTTCGCCCTCCCCTCCCTCCCTTCTCCCCCCAATTAATGCCTCACTTCATTGTCTAAGGGATCTTTACATTAGTAACTCTATTATTCGAATACAGCTTCGTGTGGTAAATGGCCAGATAAGGGAATATGTTTAGAACGGTCAAATGCTGAGCATATCTCTCTCAACTCTAGTTCATTTGTCTTTATGAACTTCTTCGCAATGTGCGTGTGTGTGTGTGTGTTACATTTTGTGGCATTAACGGGATATGTGTTGAGACAATTTCAATGCTTCCCACTTTTATATAGCCTGATTATTTATTCTATGGTTTGTTCTTGAGATATTGCCTTTTATGTATAACGGTTTCTCGCTCGCTGTGTTTAACTTAAGTGAATAATGCAATTGTTAACAACAACAAGTGTAGTTGAAAGTACGATGTGAATCTAGGGCCTTGTAATCGTCAAAATATTTGCGAAATTTTATAAGAATAAAGCACTCTCCTTGTATTCACATTTTATTTTATTTCCATGTCCCATGGCTGTAAATGAACTGTTATTACACGTTTTCCTTTTTCGCATATTTGCCACTCACGCACATACACATTCGCTCGCTGATACTCCTCCGCTTCAATGACTATCATTCTTATCATCGTTGTCGACAGTTTCGCACATCTTTGTCATCTTTCTTTTTCCTTAAAAAGCTATTTACATTTCGTCTTTATGCACGTGTACGACTAAGCTATTGAAGTAAACTTCCAAAGCTTTTCAAACAATATCACGAACGTTGCCATTTGCAGTATTTTATAGTCAGCAGAATGCGCAGTTGCCAAAACATGCTTATATAGCAGTTATTAGTTATCATCGTATTGGAATTGAGAGCTAAACACTTCGTTCCTCTATGTATTCTATGATCTGTTCATCGTTTATGGCTGTGATTGTTATCAGCAAAAAAGTTAAGAATCGTGTGTATTTAACACTAATGTTCCTATTATCACGTAGTTACATCTAGTCTCGTCTAGATTTAATCCGTTCGCTTCATTCTTTATTTAGAAGAGCATTTCTATTCTAGAACAATCAATTGTGTCTGAAATGTAAATCAGTAGAAGTAAATGACTCATTGAGTTGTAATGCATTCGCCTTTGCCACCAAGTTATAAATTGATGAAACTGATAGAGAGACAGAGAAGAGACAGTGGACACACAGAGACAATACGTTCGAACACCGGTTGGCACACCGGATACAATGTAATGAATAACTTACGATTTCATAATTTTGAACACACCCAAAAAGCTTCCTTGTTTTTAACTACAGGGAATGCAACCGTTCACGTGCGTTATTGCTCCACGAATGACACACAGGTGAGCGCGAGCGTTCAGCAAGTTGAAGCGTGGCGTGCCACGTACACGAACGAATGAACTAATGATGACTCAATTTATGAATTTATTTTGTTTTATACACAAGGTAATAATTTTGATTGTAGCGAATTTACTATGAAAATTGCATCGGGACAAAATGATGAAATTTGAGAGAATCGACGACAGGCGATCAACAATAGAAATTTATATACATGTTCTATCCTAAGTATAGAGAACAACTCCAGTTTGACGGTCTAATCGTAGTTTACCATATATGTATAATGGCAATGATGAACCGGATTGATTAGTCGACGCAGGGCGGCGATTCATGTCTACTTTTCAAAAGAAAACAAAGTGCTGATGTGTAAGTCAACTGAGAGAAGCAACAAGTGACTTGGAATAGTTTTGAATTATGAAAAAGAAAGCTGAAATGACATATAAAATCTAAAAAAAACATAAACTATGTATACAAAACACATGCTTAAGGTCAAATTCCATGTTGAATCATCTATTGATGGTCAGTTGAACCTGATGAGATTCTTGAGTCAAATAGAATGATCTAAGGAATGCAGACTAGGATGACGATAATACGAATCTGTGAGTAGAAGTTTCAAAAAGATATGACTTAATGAAAATATAGACTAGAAAGAATACAATATATATAAATATATATCAATAGAGCAATCAATAGAGGAAGTTGGTCATCGGTTTGAGCACTAACAGGACCAAAGACGAATTACAACATCATATACATAAGCTTTAACTTATAAATATTCTGGCAAGGCCTAGAGTAGTAAAACTATTTCTCAGATAGATGAGAGTATATTTGAAATCACCGGATCAACGGGAATGACGTTATTATGAATTCTGAGGTTCAACCTGAGTCTGCATGTAGATTAAGGCAGTAAAGCTTTCGCCCATTTGGGTGTGGTAGGGCTGAAGAACGTTTTCGATGTGAATTTGAGAGCATTAATCAAAGCTGTCGCCTATAACAGAAACACATTTATGCTGCCACATGGAATTGAGCTTACCTGATCAGGCTCACAATGCTCTTTGAGAACTTTCACAACCCCTCGTATGTTAATCGGAGATTCTCTCGCGAAAATGCCTGATTCATCAATGTGGTCGTACACTATAGAGCATCCCACCATCACCCTAATGCAAAAAGTTCTAGTGGCTTCGGATAAACGAGCACAGATGTCTGGACAGCAGATCATGAATCGACAAACGCTATAATGAGCAGCCAGATGAGAATGTTTCTGTGAAGTTAGTCAAAAAACCTGACAATCGTCGCAATTGTGTCGGTTGTGTTGGAGAGTGGCAGATGAGGATGCAGTTGAACGAAATTGATAAAAGATTTTGACAGAGTGTTCAACATCGGAGTTGAATTAGCCAAGAAGAGCGATATCTGATTTGCCAATTCAATTTCACTGAAAAAACACATTGATGAAGTTCCATTATTTTTTTAGTCAGCTATGAATATGTTCAGTTCGGTCCCTAACTTTTGAACTCAAAAAGTATTCGCAAATGCATTTCATATTTCGAATTGAGACTAGATATTCATGGAAAAGTCATTAAGATGAAACCATACTGAATAACCAATGAGGAGCATTACCTAGGATCAACCTCATTACGCTTCATGCTTCGACGGTAATAACTGAAATCGTTTTGAAGAGCTGGTGTGCACATCTGAAAAAAATATTTCCTCGTTTTTGAAATATTCAACAGGTTCCTGCGGAATTACCTTGATGTTGTCGAATTGAAGAACAAAGTCGACAATACGAGCCAATTGAGTTGCTAAAGCTTGACGATTATCGAGTTGCTCCTCTGGTGGTAATGATGTGGAGCATAAATCCCATAATAGTTCCGGTACCAACTGAAATTAAAGAATACTTAAACAGTCTTGATAATCGCTAAGTTGTTGATGGCCAGTCGTATGAGAGAATCACTTAGATCAACCGTCAGACAATCAACAAACAATCAAAAGCTTTCAACAGAACAAGTTCAGAAGAAAGCTTTTAATCGTGCTGCAATTAAGGTGAAAAGAAGATAAACCTCTTCGAGTTGGAGAGACAGCTCGTAGTAGCTTTTAACACGTTGAACATACGAATCAACCGTATTAGCAGCTTCCAGTTGCAATTGTGGAACATTAGGATTTTGAAGAGCTAGACGAACTTCATCAGTAGCACCTGCAATGGCATTCAACTGTCACCAATCTTTCTTTGTTGTATTGTCACAGACCTTTTCCATACGTCTGGGCATTTTCAAGTATTTTCGTCCCCGATTCCAGTACTCTCTGGCACTTTTCGTAGATGACTTTTTCGGGCTCTGTAGGCTTGGCATTCTCGAAGTCGAGGAAAAGCTGCAAGATGTCACATAATTAATGCAATTATAGGCCTTTATTGAGCAAATGAAATTTGATGAAGACCATTCAACTATGATTTTCAATGTTTTTGTGACCTTTTTTCATTCGCTCTCTCATATTACTAAACCAAATATTGACGAATGAAGCGAGAAATGACGATGAGGACGTAGGAGTAGGAGAAGGAGAAGGAGAAGAAGAAGAGAAGGAAAATTCAATTTCTTAACGTATAGTCAGAAGCTACTGTAAAACAGCTCAGATGTGTCTTTCTTCTTCGTTAAATCCCGTAGGAACACATGTAAATAGTTATGAAACAGCTTATGAATTCCAAATTTCCTGCCCCGAATTTCCTTCGTCTCCCATCTTCCTCATGCTTCAGTCTCATTATGTTGATGTCAAATGAAAAAGTAGAAAGATACTTTGATCAGTTGAAAAGATATCTAGACCATGTTTGGTCTTTGGGGGATTATGCTTTGCCAGACTCCCATTTCAAACTATTCTCAAGTATGGGAACAATGACATGCTTCTTTTTGAAGGAAATGAATGTCCCTAGAGAGAAACAAAATATCCTTTCTTTCAAATAACTAAGAAAAAGATATTATGGAAAGCTTTTGGGAGGTCAAAACAGCCTTTTGCTGCTACGATGAAGAAGACGATCACGATGACGACAGCGTTCGCGACAAAGGATAAAGATTTTGATTCTTCCAAAGCTATTAATTACGTTTGACTTGAAATGACTTAAAAGACCCTTTTCTACTTTAATGCCGATTGCATTCGCAAAAAGACTCTAAGAAAAGAGAGAGAGGGAGGGAGGGAGGAGGAAGCCTGCTTATTTCAAGGTCGTTAATGAAACCGAAAATGAGTTAGCACAATTCCTAAAACGACAGCACGAACGACATTAGAAGCCCGAAGACATCAAGAGCTTGTGTGCGAGGGAGAAACCTTATCCGGATGTTGGATAACCCCTTGTTGCCATCTGTCTTTCAAACGCCTCTGTTTTATGATTAATGAATTGTCTTGAGAAGAACAAGAAGAAGCATCTCGACGAAATCCATTGGAAATTTGTCAGACGAAATAAGACGAGAATTCAGATATTTCGAAATGTGTGAATAGACCTGTACATTCCAAATATTCAAAAGAGAATGCGTTTCGATCAAATTCAGCAAAAAGCCAGAAAAGGGCGAAAAGAGATTGAAAGAGAGACATAGAGAGAGAGAGGGCAAGATAGATAAGGAGGGAGAGTGAGAGAGAGAGTGAAAAGGAAAGACTGAGTGCAATTAGTGTTTATACACTTATCGTATTACAAATCTTGTCCTGAACCATCTGTCAGCTTAAATTTCATCTTCCTTGCTCATCGTCATTCAAAAAGAGAGAAGCCATGTATATGGATAGTTCAATGACGTAATAAATACCTTTAAAGGAAACATTTGTCTCTCAAGTTAAGTTGAAGCATAAAACTTCGTATTTGGCTAGTACGACATGGCAATTTAGAAACGAGGAGAAACGTATACACACACACACACACACACACACACTGTGCCCGTTCAATAAAAAAGATTTTTATGAGACGTTTTAGTTATCAACACAAATAAAGAGTTCCATAAAGAATTCAGGAGAAAATTAAAAGACGAAGATGAAAAACTAAGATGGAAAATAGGATGGAAATACGATTTTGAAAGAAACCCACCTCAACGTAGTCAAGCTCGTTTTGCGCACCGTCGCAATGGTTTCGGAGAATGGATCTTACCACTTCGGCACAGGTACCAGTCATAATCATGTAGCATATATAGTAAAAATTCTAGAAAAGAGCATGTGAATTGAACAAAAAGTGATGTAGAGAGAAGATAAAAACAAGAAACACTTGTCAAAAACAAAGAAAAACACATTTCTCAGATGCGGTCGCCACTGAAAAATCTATGACCTTTTACGGTGAAGTGGGAAGGGCTGGCCTTCCCCATTTCAGCAGATATTCCTTGAAGATTGATAAATGGACGTTGTTAACTATGTGGAATAAGATGAAAAAGACGAAATTAGCACAGAAATAACAAAAAATTGGTCTCTCAGAACTAGATTATGAAATTATAAATTTCAGAGGTAAAAGGAGGAGTGAGAGAAGAGTTGGTAAGTGTGACAGCTGTTTGAGGGTTTAAGACGGACGAAGTGTAGTTCAAAGGGTACGAATAGACATTAAGATCATTGGCAGCCTTTAATAAATCAAGAGATATCTCTTGAAAACCAAATAAAATATCAAAAAATCTCTAAATCTTAAATAAACAGCTTCTCAAAAGTCGGAGGAGGAGGAGAGGAGGGCGAGAGGATGAAGTTCTGAGTGAGATCATTTGATTTTGGTAATAAAACAAACTGAAATCATTCATAACACAATATGTTACAAGATAATCTATTAGGCTCATTTGGTTGGAATGATGAAGGGAACGAAGGAGGGAGAGGGAGGGAATATACAAAGAGAGAGTGGACAGTGAGATAGGGGGACAAAGAGAGGGATAGATAGACTGAAGGCACGGGAGAGATAGAAAATATGTAACCAGCCGGTTCTTTTGTATTGATTAAAGTTAGAGAAATAGATAGAATGAGAGAGAAGAACGAAATGATGTTGGTTAGTGCTGGTCGTCGTGGGTTGGATCTGAATGGAACGACGATAGACTCAAATGACGGTTAGTTCACACTCTGTTTACACAGCGTAAACAATCGGTAGTCAAGAAAGTAATTGGACAGATGACCGAAAAAAACTGTGACTGCCGTTAATTAAAGTCAACTTCTTGGATTTTATATAAGGCAATCACATATTTTTGCATATTTAATATTAGCAGATGTTGAGTTTAGCTATATGTTATTAGTTTGAAAGAAGAAGAATATGACGATAATTGCCTTAAAGAGGAACCTCCTCTACCAGCTGTTGTAATTTTATTTCGACGATTGTAATAGTGATTGTGAGCATGCTAGGAATAGGTTTTATAACACTTCTTACCAAATGAATAGACATAGTATGAAATCTTCATTTGGGATGAATCACAGATTATAAATTCTTTCATCACTTAGTTGGGTATGTCTCATGGGGCCATAAAGAAATAATCGCAATCGCGTTATGTACAAAAAATGATTAGAAAGCTTTGGGGAGAGTCATTAATCAATTTCTTTGGTGGAAGGATTTGTATGGGTTTGCGTTGTTGTAGTTGCGTGATACTGCATGAGGTCTACTACTGCCATACGAGCTGGTAGGTCCTTGAATTGGAGGTTGCACGAAGCCGTATGCAGGAATAGGCGGAGCTGAGTAAGGGGCTGGCCCTTGAGCACTTCCATAACGAGCTGGGGCAGGTTGTACATTTGAGGGAGGAGCGTTGTATCCAGGGACACGAGGAACAACAGTTGCAGCTGTCTCCTGGTAGGGCTCAGTATATGGCTCTGGGGTTGTTGTGGTAGTAGTAGTAGTGGTCGTTGTGGTAGTTGTTGTAGGTTTAGGGTGTTCACGGTTGGGGGTAGCATAAGCGATCATGTATCTGGAAAAAAAAGAGTTCCAGCGTAAAGCAGATAAACATCAGCTGACCTTCCATCAATTTCCATTTTACAAATGAGGTCGCTCCAGAAATGAGCTTTAGATGCGAAATCAGCTATTCCAGACACAGCTTCAAAATTTGTTTTGAACTCAGCTTCGCAGGCTTTCTGAAGAGAAGCCGTAATTCCATTATTTATGTTGTTGAATAGCTGATTAGCATATTTCACGTGGCAGCTTATGTTTAAGACGTAAGGGCCTTGTGTTCATTTTAACATTTCACGAGGTCTGAGCGGTTGCATTCCAAATTCTTTTGAAATTCTAACCTGTCCACGGATTTCCGCTATACTATTTTTTTTCAAAATATTAAATTATTAACCTGGAGGGCATTTGCGATTGATTGAATATTACACTTATTGAATGCTTTTTTGTTCTGTAAATCATTGTAAGTCTCAATCATTACTTCCTCCAATCGAGGATTGCAGCACATGAAACCTGAAATGAGTTATTCATCTTACGAATGAAAAAAGAAATTTCTCACCGCTTTTGTTTGTATAGCATTGTTTCAAAGGAAATTTCTGCGGGGGTAAGCTTCCCTCATCGTTTCTACGGATTAAACGATGATTGGGGGAGATGATCTAAATCCACAACGCTTAGTTTGAAACGTCAAGGTCATCACTTCATACCTGTCTCTGTACGTCTTGCCCGAGCACAAACATATTAGATGACTGATGAGAGGTAAGAGGTGTAATGGCATTGTCTATAAACACGTATTTGTTTTGTTTTTTCTCAAAAAGAAAACTTCGTTCTCACTTGCTCGAGATGATCTGTCTGGGATTACGAATGGTTCGCGGATGAAAAGTGGCTGCCCAAACACATAAACTTTCGAAACAGGAGTGTTGTTTGGTGGGAAAGAATATTGAGGCTAAACATAATTTATTTTAGATTAGAAGGTTTATAAATTACCTGATCAACACGTTTATTATTTACTTCATCGGCATAAACTGATGAATGAGATAGAAGAGTGAGTAACAGTACAGATAGAGTCGGCCACATTGCTTACAATATCTCCAAATGCTTTTGGAGACGTCTTACGACGACTTTTAACTTATGAAGACGAATATTGAAACCGTCGAATATAGGGAGATTAGGAAAAGGGCGGAGAGAATCTTACAAAAGGATACGGCATCTCAGCCAGTTAAGTTTTTGAAAAAAGGATGACAGATTTCAACGATATTCCAGCGTTTAACCAGACGATTCAGAAGAATAATCTGCAGACAAGCGTCAGAAATGAAAGAAAAAAAGAAATTGAGAAGTGAGAGAGAGGGTTGAGTAGAAGATGGGGATAGGGGGGGAAAGGTAGAAGAAGTATGACTATGACAAGCTTTTTCAATTAGTATATAAGAAGCTTGTTGAATACTTGTTTTGTCATATTTTGAATGTTGTAAGACGTTTATTGATCTGATAGATGATCTATCCTCCTTATGAGAGTCAAGTGGAACAACGTCACTTCCATAATGATAAATGTTGCTGTTTGATCTGAAAAGTGATCAGAGGTCGGAATAATGAATGCGTAAGTTGATTTGGAAGATAACCTGAACTGAAAAGCTTTTTTTTTTTTTTGTAAGATTTCGTTTTGCTTCAAGAAGAAGTTGATGTTGCGTGGCAGTTGATAGCTTCAATCACTTTCGCCATTTGAATGACAAACTTGATGAATTGGTAGAAGGTATTTGGGAATTAAAAGAGATTCTAGTCATTGCAAAAGAGACAAACTGATAGTATATCTTTTATAAATATTATCAATACAATATCATAATTAACCTTTTGAACTAGACAATGGAGCCGGGAGCAAAGATTAACTACAATATATTTGTAAGTCATGGTTGTATATATATAGTTGGTGTTGTTATCACTCACTCTCTCTCAAGATGAAAAGAGTCTCTTATTTTTTCGAATTTTGTGATGGCAACGTGTTTTCAACTTCTCCAACCCAATCAACCCCATTAGAGCCTGTTTCAATTTGCTTCCTTGAGTCATTTCTCAAACGTTTTTTCTTTTTTAGATGACAGAACGTATAATAAATGGCTTACATCCAAATAATTTACGATATCTTTTCTATTTGGTGACTCCAAATGAGACCATCTATAGTACGATGGAAGAAGTTCCTAACTATACGGATCTTGTAAGCTTCACACAATATGATATAGCATAGTAGTTGATATCCATTTTCAGTCAGTCATATGGTTGTTAGTACTAGTCATTACTGAATTCTATTTTCTCGATGACAGAAAGTATGCTTTCAATGATACAGTCACTAGTATCAATGCTGGAATCTTTTCATTGCTAATCAAGTAATTTGAATGAAGATCTATGATTTTAAAACTAACTGCATCATGTGTTATGATAGGTTTGGAGGACGTTATCTTTCGGCAAAGCTTTACAAAGATGTTTATGACTACATACACATAATTGATTTACCTCCGGACAGTCCAACAACATGGATTATCTGTTTCTTTTCGCAAGATCTAATGTACTATCTAGGACATCGAGCTATTCACGGTAAACACTTTCTGAATTGAAAAGAATGCGAACGTGTGATAGAAGAGGAATGTAGTCAACCGTTCGCTGCGTGAGCACGTGCCGAAAATGAAGTCCATACAGTTCAAAATAATCAATATACTAATTGCATGCATGTGCTCCAATGATAATTTGAATTTACAGAAGCTGGAGTGTTTTGGTCATTCCATCAAATGCATCATTCATCTGAATATTATAACTTGAGTACTGCTCTACGACAGGGCGCTGTACAAGTCAGTTCATGTAGATGGAAAGTTGAGCGAAAGTTGAAATTAAGGATTTCGGCATGGCATTCTTTGATTTATTACAATGCATAGCTATTCCACCCAATATTTTTGTAGTTCATCGTTATCTCAACGTGCTGTATCAGTTTTGGCTACATACTGAGGTATTAGATGAGAAAAAATTCCAATCTTGAATCAAATGTCAACAGATGATACCTTATTTGGGTTTTTTGGAATATTTCTTTAACACACCCTCGTCTCATCGTGTACATCATGGACGTAATGCTTACTGTATTGATCGAAATTATGGAGGAACTTTAATTATTTGGGACAGGTTTCTGAATGATTTCTTGAGATGTTCTTAATTCAACAAGCTCTTGTAGTTTCCTGTACAAATTGGTAAAATCGATTATTTCAGATTATTTGGTACTTACGCACGCGAAAAAGAGAATGAGGAAATCGCCTATGGTTTGGTATCGCCCGTCAATACTTTCGATCAATTTTATTGTCAAGTAGTTAATACTGCCACAATGCTTTCAATTGAACTCTTTTTCAGTTTTTCGAGTTCAAGGAGTTAGGATATGATAAAGCCCGATTGAAAGATGATAAGGGGAATGAAATCTTCCCAACTTGGTTGGAAAAAGTGAGTTTCCTCTGATCTGAGCAAGCTGACCATTGCATTCTTCAGTTCAAAGCTACTTTCGGCCCTCCTGGTTATTTCCCCGGTGTGAAAACTAAACAGTTCTTCTGGTGGAGATGTATGGTTGATAATGAAGAAGGAATCCCAGAAATAGAGAAACCTATTCGAGTTTACAACCCCACATTGAATTACCCTATTCGACTGTATCTGCTGGCAACCATGCTTGTACTAGTCTCCTCAGCACTTCACTTCAATGAGGTAAGCGAACACTTAATTGTTTTTCGAGAACACGGAAGTTCAGATTCGTCAAACATTATCGAATTATCAATGTATGTTGTATTTCATTTACTTGCTCGCAATAATGCAGACATTTGGATATTATTTTGATCAGAGGTACAACTTGTCTCAAGTCCACAGTTCTATTCCAAATGCATTTTCAGTAAATGGGCTTTCCACTTCGATCTATTCCGACTTGCTGTACTGCTGGTAGGAGGACTTAACTATGATAATATGAGTCTCATTAACTACTCGTTGATATCATTGTTCACCATTATAACTTTAAATAGTTTGGGTTTGATTGACCCTGCAAAAGAAACGAAGAAAATACAATAAATCTCTGAGATATACTGTGTCTGTAGAGGGAGAGAAACAAAAAACAGTTTTATGAGGGTCTTCTATGGAAAAAAAGATTCAACTCGTTTTTAGAAGAAGAAGAACTAGAAGAGAATAAGGTGAAGAAGGAGAACGTCGACGATGTCAAAGGAACACAAGCAATTGAACTTCGGAATAAGTTGGTAGTATCCAAATAAGGAAAAAAGTAATTGTTCATCTGCCCTCCCACCTCTTCAGCCTCTCAGTTTTCTCTCTTTGTTTTACCTTCCTAACGTCACCCGTGTCATGATCGCTAACGTCACATTTCTCATCAATAACACATACTGCTTGTTGTAATGAGACTATGAGAGAGAGTGACTTAGAAGGGAGTGAGAGCGAGAGAGTTGCAGCTTCTCTCGTTTTCTCCATTTTTGAAGATTTTTCTTTTGTTTATTTTAATTTGTCTTTTGAGCTATTTCCAAAAATGATGTAAATGAGTTTTATCATCGAAAACGACTGTCTGTGTGTGTGTATCACAGTCACATCCACACACACAGACATCTGCGGGATGTCTTTCAAGACAATTTCGAACTTGAAAACGTTTCGACTAAGTCTGTTCGCTCCCATTATCATTTGAACTTGATGTGTCCAATTTTTGATTGTTTCCATAACCTATCTAAACATAGTAACTTCTTATTTCAGTCTTTTTTTCATTTCAACCAAGTTCCAGACACGTTCATCATCACTGCTGAAGCCGTCTTTGCTGCCATAAGTGGCGAACAATGTCTCATCCGATTATTCGAGTATGTTCACATATTTCTTACATTGTCTTCAATTGTCATAATTTTGCAAAAATTGATGATAAACGATGATAATCGAACGATAGGATGATCATTTCTCGAACAATTCACATTCGAAGAGTTTCCATTTTAAGCGACAAAAAAACAATTCAAAACTTATCTTTCGTTCTCAAGATGTTCGCGAGAGATGATGAAGTAGATGGTCTTGACCGGAAGTTTCCTTTGCATGATTTTTCAAAAAATAATTTTTTTCAGTTCTATCGGGTAATTCTACCCCAAGTCATACTGGTCATTTTGTATTCAATCCATCTTTACACTTCAGCACACATATTCCGATATCTGGATGGACATTTAGCAAATCAAACTTTCTATGACATCATCATATTCGAGTTTGCCACGTTGGCTACCATAGGTTTGATCTCGTTTCATTTTACGTGCAAACAGTCATTGCCTTTCAAGGATATGGCAACATAGCTCCTAGAAATGATAAATCACGTGTCTTCTGTATTCTATTTGCCATCATTGGAATACCCATTTCCATTCTGATGTTAGCAAACTTTGGAAAACACCTTGGGAAAGCTTTCTGGCTCGCTCTATCATACATCAAGATGGTAAGAGTTCAATGAGATCACCTGATATAATCCAATTTCAGCCAAAAGCCAGTATCAACATGTACAAAGATGTAAACATGCCGTTGCCTTTCATAATATTTTTATTTATAATAACATTCGTCTTTGGTACTTCTCATATCCCTCATACGGGTAAGGAAACACTAGCTGATCATTGCTATTTCGGGTACGATCATCATTATGACGTTTCTATCTTCAATCATAATTTCTTTTTTTCCTTCAGGTTCATAAGTTTTTCGACAGTCGGGTTTGGTGACAAATATCCTTCAACAACCAATTTCTCGGAAATGTTTATTATTCTAATTTTCCTTACATGGGGAATGATCTTAACAACGACACTATTCTCTCATCTGAGCAAGTATTTTCAAAAGGTACGTCTCTCTCACTCTCTCTCTATCTTGATCTTCTTCTTTTGCTTTTGCTGATGCTGATGCTTCCAGTAGGAACTTCAAACATAAATTTTCATTTACGACCCTTTGCGCTTGGATATTTATGTGCTTCTTACCTTAACCTTTCTGTATTTTCTCTCCTTTTATGGCTTTCTGCCCTAACAATCTTCATTATGTTAAGATTTTAATGCATTTTTTCTTGCCCATTTCATCTTAATTGCAGGTCTATTACTTTGGTCGACGGTTTACTGGTGCAAGAGACGTGCCTATTTGGATTGACGGCAAGTGCATGCGAGTTAGTGATCTCATAGCGATTGTCGCAACCGAGTTCCATGTAATAAGCATCATGCTTAATTCATTCAATTACTTACGTTCTATGTATTTCAGGCATCACCTCATACGATTCATGAAATTCTGGAAGATCTTGATGACATCCTTGAGATAGATCGACGTCAAGATGTTGAAGCTAAGATACCACTGATAGGAGAGTTAGAGGACTATGATTGCTTTGATTAGCTATCATCTGATCCCTTATTAAGACACATAGTTATATATTTATATATATATGTAAATGCATTCGGGTAAATGAATGAGTAATGCTTTAAGTGAAACAAAGATTTTTTATTTTTCATGTCTCTTCCAATGCGTGTTGTTAATCAATTGATTAGTCAAGAACAAGACAATTAGAATTTTCTTTGATTCAATGCCTTCACGTGAACATTCCACGTATTTGACGTGTCACGCCGACATATGTCAAGATCATTTAATTTCATTATCACGTTGAAGAGCGGTTGCATCTTACATCAATTGCACAACTTCATTTCCTTAAGGGAAAAGAAAGCCCCCCAATCTCACTCTTTCTCTGTATGTGTGTGTGTGTCTTCGACAACAAGAAAGAGATAATCAATACAACACCATATATAGAGTTAATGATTTTAATAACAAAAAAAAACATTTGTTGTTTTGAAACAAGAATGGTATCAATCGATAACATGGTTAACAATCATTTGTAGTTCTTTCCTAACAAGCAGCTTTGTCCTATCCCGCTTCCTGTCTCTCACACATAGACGATATGCTCAACTGATAGTAAAAGACATGGAGGGAGAGAAAGAGAGATGGAATAAGATAGAGAGAGTGAGAGAGGGAGAGAAAGAAGAAACAATCCATGTTTATGATATAGATAATTAATATGCTATTCATAACAAGCCTATCTATGCGATATGTTAAGCGATTGATGATGTTGATGAGAGTGTGTGTACTTTGTTCTTTGTTCTCATTTCCGTAGCCCTTTTTTGTCTTTTTTTTATTCTCGACAGTCCTTTTTGAGATAATAAAAAGTGAAAATATAGACATTTACATGACTCTTCGCCTCCTTAAATACATTAACTGATTTCATTATCTTTAGTATCTATAAAGAATTTATAATTGTTCTGCTTTATCAAAACACATTCTTTATCCGTGTCTTCCGTTGTGTACTTGCCCTCTCTGTACCTCAGTTTCATTCTTAGATTGTGTTAAGATGGCAACGTGGAAGAGTCCATACAAGTCTGTACCTGTTTCTAAGATCTCATTGGATCAGAAGCTTATGACTGCTATGATTCATCATATGGATGTTCATCCGAATAAGCCAGCTTTGGTATGCTCATCTAATAACCTATATATGCACTCATCTCATTCTTTCAGATCTGCGGTGAAGATCCCAACAGTCGTATTACTTACAAAGAGATCTATGTGTACTCACTTGCAGCCGGTACATTCCTCTCTCAAAGGTGCCATTTTCTGCAAAAATGTTCATTATTTATTTATATGTATAGAGGTTTTCGAAAACATGTGATGTGTCTGGTTCTTCCAAACTCATTCGAATACGTAGTCGGATATTTGGCTGCCAACATGTGTGGTGGAGCTATAAGTGGAGCAAGTGCCATGTTTACAGATTGTAAAGAGAGAGCTTATCATGAATATTGTTCGATTCATTAATTGATAGATGAGCTAGAGAGACAGTTCTTGGATTCTGGATGCACTGTCGTGTTAACAGACGATGCTAATCTGGCGAAAGTTCGAAGGGCGGTTGAGAAGTGTCCTTTGATCAAGGTATTTCTTTATTTAGTATCAATAAAAAAAATAATTTTAGACTATCATTTGTACGCGAAAAGATAAAAAAGAGCGATTGCCATCAAACGTCTTTGATTATGATGAAGTCATAAGAACTTCACCGTCGACCATCCCACAAACTGATCGAAGGTTAAACAACACGAGATATCAAACTGTGTATCAACTCTATGTATTTTGAAGTGTCGAAGATGTGGCTATCCTTCCATACTCAAGTGGAACAACCGGATCACCTAAAGGAGTAATGCTATCACATAGGAATTTTGGAACAATGATCGATGTTGTGAATACGTGAGCAATAATATGATATGGATCATGATTGGCTTAACTTGTTACAGTCACTTCGAGGAGATTCTCTTGAAGAAGCTTCCTGAGTTCAATTGGTACAAAGAGCATGTAATGCTTATGTTGCCCTTCTATCACATCTATGGATTCGGAAATCTGAACCAATGTCTGTTGAATGGTTCGACAGGAGTTGTGTTTTCCAAATTCGATCCAAATCATTTCTTGCGAGCAATTCAAAGTTATAAAGTATGCTCATTAGCTACTCAATTCTCAATAACTATAGCATTTGCAGGTGAAAATTCTGATGCTTGTGCCTCCTATTGTATTATTCCTTGCCAAACATCCATTAACTACTCAATACGATTTAAGTTCAATTCAGATTGTGATCACAGGTGCAGCTCCATGCGGAAAGGAGTTATGCGAAGAATTTTATTCAAAATATAAGAATGTCAAATATATGGCACAAGGTGAGATATGCATTGTTGAACGGATGCATTTTTGATTTGTTCGCAGCGTATGGAATGACTGAGTGCGGTATGGCTTCTCATCTGCCAATTCTTGATGACAAGCAGAATTATGTGACTGTAGGATATGCTGCTTCTAATTTCGAGCAGAAGGTATATAAATATAGCTTTGAGTCATTCCTATCTTCCTCTGAAGATTATTGATCCCGCCACTGGAAAGACTCTCAATCAAGGAGAGAGGGGCGAAATATGTGTACGTGGACCAACTGTCATGAAAGGGTATTTGAACCGTAAAGCAGCTACTGAAGAGACAATTGATAAAGAGGGTTGGCTCCATACAGGCAAGACATATCCTCCCTTCTCCATTCATTCATAAGTATTGTTCAGGTGATATAGGCTATGTTGACCAGAAAGGACAAACTTTCATTGTTGATCGCTTAAAAGAACTGATCAAAGTGAAAGGATTACAAGTGCGTGTGGGAGTGTGATTGAAAAATCATTTTTTGATTCAGGTCCCTCCAGCTGAATTGGAAGATCTCTTGCTATCGCATCCATCAATCAAAGACGCTGCTGTAATTGGTATTCCTGATGGTAGAACAGGTGAAAAGCCGAAAGCTTTCGTTGTTCGATCAGATCCCAGACTAACAGAACGCGAAGTTCAAAAATTCGTAGAATGTATGTTGTTCAAAGATCAAACATGAACTCATTATGTCTGTTTTCAGCAAAGGTATCTTCATACAAGTATCTTACTGGAGGAGTTGAGTTCATTGAGGAAATACCAAAGTCAGCTGCTGGAAAGATTCTGAGGCGCTTTTTGCGCGACAGAAAGTCGAAAATTTAATTTTTGCATTCATTTAATCAATTTGTATGAAAAATTAACTTATACCACGATACTAACAATAGAAATAATTTTTTTAAAAGAGAAGACTTGTAAATCCAATAAAACGTGTTTCGAGTTGCCTTCTAATGAGTCCCGCCACGACGACGGTGCTGCCAATTCAGAATGTTTTGTTTTTTGAAATTTGTTTACACGCGGCATGAACGGTTGCATTCCAAGGTTAAGTGAAAATTCTGATTTCATTGTGCTATCAGGGAGTGATAACTATTTTTTGTTTTCGTTGTTTCGAACGCGTTTACTGATAAGAGAACCATGTGGTTGTTGGCTGGGTTAGTGATGTGTGTACATGGAAGAGGAAAAGCTTATCAATGTGTTTATTCCAGATGTGCTGAATGGATGAGTTTTCGTTTTGGATGTAGAAGAGAAGCAAAAAGATGAAATGTCATTTATTAATCAATAAACATAATTCCTCAACATGGAAAGAAGCACCAGTCGTTATTTGAGCTAATGGCTAGGAATCAAGTATTCTCAATAAATCTTGTGAGAATTGAAAAACATCAGTGTTTGTGTCAGACCCTTTCATCTGTTCATATCTTTTCATTTTCTTCTATATTGAATTTAGATAATAGAAAAGAACCCGTATTTTAAAAGATTATGAATGAGTGATTGAAGCTTCTGTGTCAAACAGTCATGAGGTGATTATTACTACTTTGATATAATATATGTCAAATAGAAGTCTTTTTCCAGGTTAATCACCATGACTTGCTTCGCATCAGTTTTGAGGCACTACCTTGTTGTTACGTGACAAAGCTGAGGGAGGATTAGGCACCCCATCAAAATCGGCTGGTGGTGTTGTCAACCTCATTTGAGGGGCTCGCACAAAACGTACCAACGAAGTGTTTTGTGGGATATGTACAGAGGATGCAGAAGTAGGAGTTCCTGCTGTAGCTACTGTATTTTCTTTTGGCTCATCTCGAGCTGATGTAACTATTGCAGTGGATGAGGAGGACTGAGATGAATTGTTGCCTTCCGGATCGGCCGGCTGACTTCCACTTGCCGAGGCATTTTCTGGTCTTAGATTAATGAGATGAGATGAGAAGGAACGAAGCTATTTACCTGCCAGAAGTACGGACATACACCAACCCACGAGAAGAGGTTTGTGGTTCAATCTGTATAGATGTCGAACGATTAGAGCGTTGAGTTAATCGTCCTAGGGGACTAGTTGTCGAATTGAAAGTAGGTGTAGAAGTGCGGGTATGATTAGACACGCGTCTGTGCTGCAGTACATTGCTTGTGCCATTGCTAAGATCTTCAAAAATAGAATTTGATTTTGTAAAAACTCAAAATGCATACTGCCATTATTGAACTGCTCTGCTGCTATGGTTTCCTCTTCTAATCTTTTTTGTCGGGCTAGCTCCATTCTTTTTGAGCGACTCTTTGATTTGGCTAGCATCTTCCACTTGGCAATTGCCTTGGTAACAGTTTGAAATGTTCTAAACAAGGCTATTGTTATGCTTTCTTATAAAATCAAAAAACCTTGTACTGAGTGGCTTTTCCACTACATAACGGGCCACGTTAGTTCCTGCCAAGCCATGCTCGATGACGTCAGCTCCAATTTGTTCTTCGTAATCTGTGACACGCAAACCAAGAGGGCTTTTTGATATTAACTGAAAAGCACATCGTAGTATTTAGAAAGGTGGATCACAAATACCACTAGTACTAATAGACCGAATAGAGCACTATAAGCTAAGATGGTAACTGTACAAAGCAGTTGTATCCCTAATAAGGTTGGATCACCCGAGTACAAGAGGCCTGAGCGGAATCCAGTAGCTCGATGCTAAAATTAGAACGGTGAGATATTGTCTAGGCATGGGATTTTAACCAGATACTTATCCCTTTCGCAAAAAATGCCAACTGCCGTCATTCCCCAAATAGAGGAAGTGAGATGAATGGGAACGATTCCAACCGGATCATCAATCTTAAACCTACAATCAAAGTTGTATAGTGAAGAAGCTGGCTAGTTGATTACCTCTCTAAGAGAGGAAGGACGGAAATTGAGAATGCTGCTGAAACTCCGCCAATAATCAAAGCATGCCAAGGCCGAGATACAGCACATAATGCTAAATTGCGAATAAAAATATTTTGACTTAGTTTCTTCCAACCTGTGATGGATACGATTGAAGACAGAATTCCGTTGATGAGAAAATTAACTTGAAGTTTTTTGGTTTTCACAAACGAAATAACAATTGAAGTCACACCTCCACCTATCGAACTCATAATTGTGGCAACGGCGGCTCTGAAATTCCCATAATGATAATAATGGACAGCATCGCTCACCGAGCTCCTAATCTCCATCGCCCTCCAGTAATTCCCCAGACTGAACCGGCATTTATCCCAAACCATCCCCACCATAAGAGAAATGTACCTAACAAGGCATTAGTTGGAGAACTCATTTGGTGCACGCTATCTTCATGAAATCGATTTCTTCGAGGTTTTAAATAAACTGTTGCTATCAGACCAATGATACCTCCAACCATGTGCACCTGAAAGATTTTGCTTTGCACCTATTTTCAACTGAGAATAACATACAGCTGAGCAACCAGCGAAATCTACGACACCGAGTTTATTGAAGAATCCTTCACTATCCCACACCCAATGAGCAGGAAGAGCTTGAATGAGAATTACCAAACACCCTAATAAGATGTAGGATTTGAGTTTTGCTCTCTCAGCCACAGCTCCTGAAATGATGTTTGATTTATATGTAAGAACGCTGTCCTTTTTCAAAGTTAAAGTAGCGCATGACATATTAGAGAGGAAAGTGCCGTCATTCACAAATGGTTTTCTTGTCAGTTCATTCAGAACTTCTTTCTTGACATGTACGAGTATCGTCGACATAATTGGGCTGTTTTTACCTTTTTCGGCAGCAAGCCCCTACTCTTGCCTACTCCTCATTCAAACTTTCAAAACTTTGAAAAGTGATATGTTAGATATATATATAGAGAGAGAGCAGGAGAAATCAGATCAACTATTAAAATTAGAGAGAGAAACAGAGAGTGACAGAGAGTGGGAATGGAAAGAATGAATGACATACCAGACACAATAGTAGAAGCCGTTGTTGCTAAACTAAGTTGGAACAGAAATGCTGCGTATGACCATCCTTCTGCATTGACAGCCATATCATCCCTGTAGACAAGAAGAAAAATAAATAAAAATTTGCATATTTCAGGAAAACAATTTTGAAAATTATTTTGAGCGCGAAACACACTAAGTATATAAACGAATTTCATTGTAATTGTGCATGCGGAGCTCGAACGGTTGTGTTTTTCCAGTCGCTACTACTACTGGCAGGTAATTTAATTTCTTATTAACTATTTAAGCACAATATTCAGAACTTGTTTTTACCTGGTGGGATCATAAAAAAATCGTCCAAAACCTATGAATGGATTTCGAAATGGCTCGTAATCACCATATGATAATCCATAGCCAACACTCCAATAGGATAAACCCCCAAATACAACATCCACAACGTTCTTGACCATTATGTTGACTTCATCTTTGGCAGAAACACTTCCGGATTCCAACAAGCCGAATCCTTTAAAGAGAATGGTTTTGTTAGTTTGATGTTGTGCTATGTGGGTATCATTCAAACCTGAATGCATGGTGAAGATGATGAAACTGCTGGTAATAATCCAAACAGCATCATCTTGATAGAGTTTATCCACTTCAGGAGACGTTATATTCTCGGCGTAGTGATGAATTTCTGCAATGTTATGAGACTCGTTAGTTAGTAACATCTGTGGCTCGAGAAACTCACGAACAATTTCCATATTGGATATGTTTGGAGAGTTGGACATTTTGTCAAAGATGTGATGAGCATTCGTGTTTAAAAGTAAAACATAAACAAAGGGTCTCTGTAACACATAATAGTAAGTGAAGTTTGTGGTAAAAACATATTTTGAACTTTTTTTTTTCAGAAAAGAAGAAAGGTTCAATAGAAGTTAGAGAAGGATGTAGTGAATTCGAGTAGATTGCACAGTGATGCTGAACTTCAATAGAGTCTAATGAAAAGATTATTCGAAAGAAAATGCTTTTCTATGAGCTGCTTTTTTTAAGCTAGCCCAATATGTTTACGAAAAGAAAAGAAAAAGAAAATATGTAAACTTTGAAGGAGCTTTATGAAATTGGGAGAGCGATATATGGGAGGCTGAAGTCTCGGCCTAATTGGAAGAAAACATTGAAAAACTGCTGAAGTTTGGAAAAAGCTTGTAGGTTTTCCCACTTTGAACTTTAAGTTTTAGAGGCTATGAATGGCTGTAATTGTTTTTTCGGAATTTACAGAGAGAAAGAGAGAGAGCCAACTACTAGTCTGTAGGAAGGAACACTATCCTATTGGTCGATCTATCAACACGGAACAAACTTTGCTGCTTATTTTTCAGGATGAGCAGTAGGTTAGATCAAATTTGCGGGGAAGAATTTCTCATAGGCCAGGATATTCAGAACGTTCGCTGGAGAGAGAACGAAACGAGACGGAAAAGCCGAATAATCAGAAACTTCAGCTAGGGGGAATACGCGTAGGGAAGGTGAATGTGAGGTAGGCTGACACACGCGGAAGCTCTATTGAAGGATTGATGATTCGTAGGTAAAGAGCACAAAGAGACTGAGGAGAGACTTTGCAGCATGAAAGAGCAAATGCTAAAGCCCAAATAATTATCAAAAACTCGTTGGACGACGGATGATGGAGGAAGAAAATCAAGTGGGTTCAAGCTAATTCAAGTTAGAAAAACAGAGATCATTGACTAAGCGACCTGGCACGAAACTAACATTCACCAGTAGCCAGTTTGTACTTTTTCGGCGTAAAAATAAGTATAAGCATTGGCCGTATATAACGATTTTGACGTAAAGAGCTAGAAGAATGTGGAGAGAAGCAAAGCTAAATTCCAATCATTTGGCGATGGCTATTGATTTCCGGCTGAGCTAAATGGGTAATCAGAGCCGTATTTGGTAGTTGTTGAGAGAAATGTTAAGTTGAGTGGAAGATACAGATGAGCATGAGAAGAAAAGGAAGAGACTTTACATGAGCTTTGAAAAATGTGGAGGAGGAGAGGAGGGGGAAGTAAGGAAGGATGCAGAAGTTAAGAAAAAAGGGAGAAAGTTGTAGAATTTGGGAAAGATCCAAAAGAGGGAGAGCCCAGCTGTTTACTTGGAAATGGATAGAGAGAGAGAGAAGGGAAGGTGAGGAGAGAGAACGTGAAGTGTGTAAGCGCAACCGTTCGCAACTCTTTCATTACTCAAAATAATATGGAATTCACGTCGATTTCACGTCAAAAAAGCATTCGTTGAGATAATAAAAGGTAGTGGAGGAAGTCGTATGTCTTGTGAACAAAAGGCAAAAGAGAAAGGAAAGAGACAAAGATTCTGGCTTTTAACCAATATTTAATAAGAGCAGAAAAATAAAACTCTAATACGTGTATGTGTATGAGTGCTGTTAATTGGTTGCGAGAAACGGTTTGAGCATCTGAGGAGGTATATGCGTGGTCGAAGAAACATTTACCTCCTTTTTCACCAAAGTTCATTCAAAGAATGTGGTCGCGAAAACGAAAAGTTTAATGGGGGGGGGGGGATTATATGAATTTTCATTGATTTCTCGTACATGGATTCCATTAGACATTGAGATATTCCGACTTCTTTGAAGGTTTCTCATACTGACAACGAAGAACGGAAGGAAGGAAGGAAGATCAATGTGACAGAAATTTTTGAGCAGCCATTGTCAGCTACATGTATGCTTTCTGACACTTTTTGTCATTTTTTTTTTAACGATAGATGAAGAGAATCTCAGGAGAGTTGTTGAGAAATGTCCTATTTTGGAGTTCATGACAACGAATTCTCATGTTTCGAATAATAAAATTCAATAAAGCTGAGGTTCAGATTGAAAAATATGTTCAAAACTTCCGTACAAATTAACCATTCCGGTAGATGTTGAAGTGAACGACAGTATAGAGAGAGAGAGAGAAAGAGAGAGGAGCCTGATGTTTGGGAGAAATGCTTCGATACTGTACATGTTGAAGAGCTACACACAGACGAGAGAAGAGAAACAGAAGGTGCAGCAGGAGGAGGAGGAGGAGGAGAAGAAGGACGAGGAGAACGAACAAGTGAGTAGAAGAAAAGAAATTTCGGAAAAAAACAAAGCTTTCTACAATTAAACGACATGTAGTTACTAGCTTAGATAGTAGTAGATTTTTATAAATTACACTCAAATAAGAAGAGATATAAAAGAAAAATATATAAAATATAGTTTGCTTGCGGATAAAAACGGTTGCCTAGACGACTAGACTGACTGCATGAGCTCGCTGGTTTCAGCTTTTCAAAGCCTCTCCAATTCTAACCCTATCCATTTATCTTTCTGCTCTTCTAAATCTGCTTACGACTTAGAGAATGGTGTAAAAAAAAAAGATTAATTGAGTTTGGTTTTTATTACATTTTAATTTTTCTTTTTTACTAGGATTGTCGAGAGTAGACAGTCAGAGAGGGAGGCAAGGAGGTGGAGAGGAAGAGAGAGAGGGAGAGAGAAAGTTTGAAGGCAAGAAATGACTGAAAAGTTTCTAACAATCGCTCTGTGAAGTGTATGACCTTCTCTCTGTCTCTCTCTCCTCTCTCTATAAGGTGCTACTAGCATAGGTTAACAATTATCATTTCGAAGAGAGCGAGAAGCCAATTGAGCACCTAAAAAGGTTTAGAAATGATTAATTCGCATCCTTCACATCTCGAAATCGGCTTGTTCTTAGTGATTGTCAGTGTGTGTGTGTGTGTACGTGTACGTGTGTGTGTGTGTGTGAGTGTGAAAACAAAAAAAAATCTTTTTTTTTTCTTCTTTCACAAAAAAAAATGATATGAAATAGGAGATCATGAAGAAAATAATTTGGAACAAAAAGCTTGCGACTGGCAACGTTTGAATAATAATATTTTGTCTCTCGTTCTCTAGCTGCTCTTGTAGTTTTCATGCTTTCTTCTGTTCATAAAACTTAAATTGAAAATTAGTGTTCGAGATCCGTGGAAAAAGATTTAATAAATCTCAATGTGATCAATAATCTAATTTTTTGTTGTAAATATATAAGAAAAGGTGGAGGGAAGGAGGGAGGGAAGGACGAGGAAGGAGAGAGAGAGAGAGAAGTAGTGAGAGAGAGGGAGGAAGTGGCAATGAGAATGCATTCCCGGCTATCTGAAGGAGGTATTTTCGAGGTAAAGCTCAATTGCTGTTTCAAATGAAACTGTGTAAAACAAAAAGTTTTTTGAAACACGAAAATGACTGAAAGAGAGAGAAAGGGAGAGAGGTGGGGGTGGTGGTTGGTGGAAGGAAGCTGCTGAAGGTACTAGTGTGCTTATGGATTTTCCCATGTCGACAACAGCTCTTTCAAATTTACCTATTTATTCCACTTCACTTATTATTCTTATTTTTTGAACACAAAAATGTTAATAAATTTGTCAAAGAAATTTGTTGGATTGTACAGTTTCATGATCGTCGTGTTGGATTTGTGAGAATGGAAGGAGGAAGTGGTAGAAGGAGGGACGGGGGGGGGGGGGGGGGAGGGTGGATATGGAAGAAACAATGTGCTGCTCATTGCTTGAGATGTTTGGTTGGAAAATGTTTAAAAAAATGAATACTCTTCTTTCCTTCCCCTCTCTCTCTCTCTTACTTCTCTTCTCTCGCTTCATCCCTCTCTCTCTCCCTCTCCCCCCCCTCTCCCTCTCTCTCTGAGCGAATCATATTTACGGAAAAGACAACTTCACAAACGGCTGAATATTACTCGTGGAAATAGCTATTTCTTCAATTTTCTGAGAAACTAAATGAATTTGAAGCAAAGAATGAGAAGTGAAGAGGATAAGTTTCTCATAACATGCTTTTCCAACTGCAGAGGAAGGAAAAAAACATTTTAATGCAAGTATTTTGTGAAGATAGAATTACAATGGAACATACTTCTTGCTCTACCACTACTTCACCTTCTAACTACTACATGTATGGATTTTATGAGAAAAATGTCTTGGGAAGGAAATTATCTTTCAAAAGATTTAGCTTTCATCGATCATCTTACACTTGACCAAATACCTATATATGTTTGACATTTACGAATATTTCTAAGTTTTATTATCCAGTCCCTCCCTCTTCCAAACTACCGCATACAACATGCCACCTCTTTTACTTTTTCAATTGAAATCTCGCCTTTTAGATTCAACAAACACACACGATCTGAAAATACATTTCCCAGGCGAGATGCAACATTTGTTCGTTTTTATCTAAGATGCAAAAATGAAATGTCTTGAAATAGCTTTTAATCACATAACTTCACTTGAATGCACACTTGGCGCGCTCAAATCAAATGCGCGCCAAATAGTAGAACACTTCATTCCTAACTGTTGTTGCTTGATGAGCGGTTGCATTCAATTAATTACGAAAAGTATTTTAATTTCATCAGGACATCAAGTACGTTTATTATTTTTTTTTTCTTTTACAATCCTCCACTCTCTCTCTCGCTTTCGCTCTCTCTCTGTTCGTCTACCTCTCTTCAACTAATTATAGCAGAGAAGAGCATTGTAAGACCACATTGTTTTGACGACGAATGACATTATTTGTTCTATGTTTTTTTAGAAAATCTCCTGAACACCTTATCGAGATGCACAAATGTTTATTCGAAATGTTTCTCATTAGAATACCATTTAGAGGGATGCTTTATAAGACTTGTATTTTACAACTGTACACTTAATATATTGATAAGACTCACAATGTATTGACTAGTGAGATGTGAAAGGACGAGGAGCAAAACTAAAATTGTACCAATTACATGTAGGCTCTACGCGCAAGTAAAACACTAAAAATTCCGAATGATAGAACGCACAATGGAATGAATATGAACAACTGAAAATCGCAGGAAGAGGACGTGTTTGAAGAGGTTCTAATTCGGACTGGGGGAGAAGGAGCTTTGATTACTGGTGCAGGAGGGCTAGGAGCTTCTACCTCACTCCGTGTTTCTTCCACAGATTCTACTTGTTCTATAACGTTCTCTGATTCAGACGATTCTGATGTTTTGGGAGTATCCGTAGAATTCTGCAAAACTGTACTAGAAATGGACTTGAAACTGTAATACCTTAAATATCAATTTGCCGGCGAGTTCTTTTGCTTCTTTCATGGCAGACCCGTCAACCAGAGGCTTGAGTGCATCTTTCATACAAAGCCCGCATTCTGAGCATGACCATCTCAAGCTACTATATGGCACAAAGAATTAGGATTTCAGTTCAATGTTAACATACGCTTTAGCTAAGGTTTTAATTTCTGCCTCTGGATAATTTAAACTTCCTAATGCACCACCTGGCTCGGAAGGCATAAAACCAATCAACGCAAGTAAGGCTGTTCTGACTACAACATTCATATAAGGTTTAGAAATATTGATTTCGCGTCTTCCATACCTGACCAAGAAGGAAGCCAAGTTTCAGGATGATATCCCGAAATGGAAAGACAAATCTTTTTGTTCAGCTCGAACCTCCCATTGGGCTAAATTAAGATTGAATAAACTTCTGTTCACACCAAACTCACTGTTAAAATAATGAGATTTGGAGGTTTCATGGGATATTCGGAAGGGAAAATGATTTTGCCATGATACACTCCCCCATCGAACTTCGTACCAAGTGGGCCCCTAACAGTGAAATGCCATTCGAATAAATTATCCTGAAGCATTGAAATGTCTGTTTTATTTTTTTAGAATGTCAAAACCTCCATTGGCTGTGCGAAAAACATTTCCGTTGGCTCAGCAAGCTCCATGGCCTCCCTCATCAATCGCTTGACACCTTAAAATTCAGAATATCACACGCCATACAATCAGATACAAATTACCAGCACACTTGCTATTGTATTGCGTTGATGTAGCCATCGCAACAGAAATTGCCTTGGAGGATAAATTGAGCTAAACAAGGTTCAAGTCAACCAGGGCGGAATATTAGAGAAACAATCGATATGGCTAGTGAGGAGAAGAAGGAAGTAGCCTGATATGTTAATTGATGAAAGTAAATAAAAAAAATAATTAAATGACGCGATTTTTCATTCAATTTTTCAAATCCGATGAATATGTAGAATTAAAGCCAAAGTGAGCACTAACATACGTGTGATTCGCACGTGTACGCAACTTGTCGTTGTGTAATATTTAGTACGGTAGTAGATTGACCTTAGCATACACTGTTTGAAGCTTCTTCCATTCTCATCCGCCTGATCATAGTTTGAACTTATTTATTATTTATTAATTTATAGAAAATGGAGTCCGCTCCCAATATGGACGATCTTCTGGATGAGATCGAAGATAGCATAACCACAACTAGTTATTCAAATCATGTTGTAAATATTGTAAAGCCAAATTTGGTAAGCAAAATACATAACAGCTGAATTAACGGGGTTTCATTCAGATAAATACTAATATAATTGAATCCTGTAATTATAGTGCTCCTACTGAGAATATGTCAGCTGAACAAACAGGTATAACAAGCAGAACTAAAGAATTTATCTTCGCTTTGTAGAAGACGATGAAATATCACCCGATGATATTGTCATCGATGAGATAGCTGATAATGTAAATACGATTGAACTTGGAGAGGATGTAGCTGATTGTGAGAATAATATTAACATTGAAGTGCCTTTAGTGAGCTATTCCTTTATGACTCCACTCTGTCTAACTGCTTCCTTTATCAGAATCATTCCAATACTGATGCGAACTGTCAAAGTGCTTCCAGTGATTACCAAAATACATTACTCTACTTAGACAGCTTCCCAAGTGCTGAATCAGGTACTACTTTTTCTGGATTTAACAGACATCCCTTCCATTGTTGTAGATCAGATCAAAGGAGTTGAAATCGCTTCGGAACTTTCAGTCGAAACTCTACCCACTACTGGTTTAATCTCTTTGTTTTTCTTAACTTCATATTGTTTTGTTGTAGATGTCATTGGTAATGACGAAGAGAAGGGTAAATCTAATTTATCGGAGATGAGTGCAGAGGATATAAATGAAAATGACGAAAGCACGGCCTCTCCAATCCCTTGCACCAGTTCTGAACTACGTAAGAAGACAATGCTTTCCTGTTACTTATGATGTTTTCGTGTAGATGAAGAAGTTGACCGTTCAATATCTCCTGAGGATAATGAGAAGGAAGATGAAATTTCGGATGAAGAAATGGAGGAGGATATCCCTTTGAGTCAAGACACTGTAGAGTTGGCAGCTGACATTGTGGCAGAGAACCTCCTCGACGATGTCAGTGATGAGGTAGAGGATGCTGTTCTCGATCATTACATTAGTCAGAACACATTTGAAACTTCTGAGGTTATCGGCAAATTTTTTTCTCTTTGATTTCAACATAATTGTTCAGAATTATGAATCATCTTGTATAAGCCATGATTCCCAGGGTCTCACTACGATCATGGCGGAGGAATGTGTTGAAATCGAAGAAATGCAGAATGGTCAAGAGGTCGATATTGCAAAATGTGATGAATCAAGAATCGAAGTTGCTGATATCGATGAGGCTCAATCGGCAGAACACAATATGATGGATGCTGAGGAGTTCCTGAGTGATACTAATACTCCCGATGACCAACAAGAAAGCACATCTGGATTGAATGACGTGAGACACTATAATATTTTCCTTATTACGCAGTAGTTTCAGTCATTAGCAACTTTCCACGATTTGGGAGAGAACTCAAGTTCAGTGCGTTTGACAGAAAGCGAGTTGATGCTCGGAAAGGTTTTCAAACTTCATTTTTACCGTCTAATATTGATTATTCAGTCGAAGCCTTATTGGATTCCCGACTCAGATTGTGCCTCTTGCATGCTGTGTGATTTGAAGTTTTCTTTCCTATTGAGAAGACATCATTGCAGGTGCTTTTCAAATTTTGTTATCGGTCTCTTATTCCTATTTAGAGCCTGTGGTAGAGTACTTTGCGCTGCGTGTTGTAGTGGAAAAGCAATGCTTCAGTACATGGCCGATGATCCAAAGCAGGTGAGATTGTGTTGATTTGTTCAATGTTATCTCAAATCTTTAAAGGGACCTGCAAGAGTGTGCACGCCATGTTCTTCTATGTTGGCCAAAATAGAGGATTATGAAGATAGGCTTCAAGATGAGAGGTTTGATGATCTCTTGACATATCTTCGACTTCTCTAGTATTATAGGAACGACGAAGCAGTCAGAGTGAAAGGAGTTTTGAAAACTAGGACGGCGTCTACTGCTACTGTGGATGGCACCGAGCAACCATGGGATGTCCCTGAACCATCTAGCTCTTCGAACTCACAGAGACGAAGTGTTATGTTCAGGTAAACTCACAGCAGCAACGTTATTAGATTATAAATAATCAGAGATGGCACCAAACCCGGCTCAGCTACGCAAGAAAATGGCGAGGAGGAGAGAAGTACAGCAATTAAGCCTAAAAAGGTAGAGATTATAAAAATATTTCTATCCACAATTGACGTCTTTCTTAAGAAAACACGCAAAAGGCCATCCGTACAGAGACGAATCATGGAACTCAAGCTAGAGGATCAACTTCAAAGTTTACTGCCAACACCCGAGAATTTGAAATTCATGATTGTTGGGCCAGCTGGAGACGCACAGAACATTGACGTTAGCAGAGCTGAAGAAATTCTAAAAGAATCTAAAAATATAAGAGTGTATATAAAGAAAAATTTGTTGGCTCATGTGCAAATAACAGAAGGTATGCTGCTGCTGCTGAAGTTTTGTTAGTATTGATTTTAGTTGATAATCGAAGTGTATGGGCGATCATCTCGAATGGGTTTTCTGTGATTGGACAGAACGAGGTTGTTTTCTGCTGGGAAAGAGGAGATAATGAATTCTGTGTCCCTGTTAATGTCTTGGAGAGAATAGCCCAGGTTTCATATATTCTCTATCATAGGTCATAACTTCTCTGATAACAGGTATTCGTATCATCCTGTGAAGTTCACAGTGATGGCGTGCAATGTGTCGAAGAACGTTTTCCTGGTCTTCACTCTTCAACAGACTTTTCATTTCCGCTTACACGGCACATTCTCTTCTTCGAGCCTACTACTCAGGTACCAAGTTTTTCGAAATTGCAGTACTTCTCCCTTTCACAGGACTTGAAGTTCCTGAATATTCCAAACGCTGAGGGAATTCGAATTGCCTGCTTCGTACACGATGATGAGTTTCCATGGGTACTCGCATGTCCTAACAGAGTGCTGCTTCGATTAGGATTGAAACAGAGTTGTAAGATGATATATACAATTGTGGTCATTTATTATTTTGAATAATGCAGGTTATCCAATACCAATTGTAAACATTCCCAACAGGGACGCCGTTTATACTTCCGAAACCAATCGCACAGCCTTAAAGGTATTAATAGTTCTAATGAACTTGGAATGCTCATGCTTCCATTTAGGTGTTTACCGATTTCCGCAAATGGTCTTACCGTATGAAGAGGGTAGTGGGTAGTACAGTGTCATTACACATTGTTGGCAATCACACTGTTGTTAAAGTTCCATATCGTTCCAAGGGCATTGTAAGAACTAGGATTGAGGGATAAATAATCATATTACGCTTGCAGATTAACTCAATACTGTCTTGGAATCGTTCAATCTTAGCTTGGAAGTGCGACATAAACGTTCATGCTGATAGTCATTTGGTATGTGAAGAAACAACCGACGGCTTCTATGAGACGCAAGTTCTGTCAAAGGACAGTAGCAGAGAAGGTAAGCATCGGAGATTGCTATCAGGACCACAGTCAATTATACTATTATTGAAATGATTCTTAAACACTGCTTTTCAGTGACTGGAGCATCGTTTGTGATATTCAACGGATCTTTGAAATCTAGCGGGCAATTACAGGTTTTGACTACCTGCTAGTTCTTAAATCAAAAAAATTATTTGTTCAGCTATCAGTCATTGAAGACGGAATAGCCATTATGATGCAACCAGAGAAGTTCTTGGCTTTTCAAGAAAGCTTAACAAGTGCTGAGGTAATCTCCTAGCGTCGGATGCGCATGTGATAAACACATCCTTTTCAGTTTGGCGATTTCACTGTCGAAGATCCAAATGGCGGAAAATTTTCGTTCATTTGGGTAGACGATGATGAAAACATCTCTGAATATTCTCCCAAGTCTCTCATAAGTGACAAGTATATTGGGGTTTGTGAAGCTTTATGAGCTGCTCTGATCATCTGTTTGCAGGGATACTATCAATACGGTTTATCCTTGGAACGTGCTTTTTCTTCCGTGCTTCATGCAACGGATAAAGGACACTTCGGAGTTATCCTGTCTCAAGTTTTGAATCGTAAAAGCGGTCGTTTGGAGCCAGAGGAAGAACCAAGGTTCTTCAGGTACGATCAACAAACACCCGACTACCAATATACAATTGTTTTGAAGTGTCGCAGAAATTATTGCCCGCGAATGTAGTTTTCACTTGGATACGTTCATACCTTTGTTGAGAAACATGGATTTAAAGTATGTTTTCTCATAGAAAGCAAAGAAACGTTTTGAATTTAGCAAAATCGCCGTTCGGGTGTATGCAACAGCTGATTTGGTAGAGTATGAGGTCTCCCCGTGGCCAGGCCTTGAGGAAGAACATGCGAAGTACAAAGAGAATATCTATCAGGTTGGATCAGAAGCCGACTAATGTCCATTTACGTCTAATCTGTTGCAGATAATTCCAACGCTATACTCAATTATCGAGCATTTCCGAGCTGGATTTCATTTGGAAATTACTTTGAGTTTGATTGTGCTCAACTTCTCGGAAGCATAAACGAAAGCATATTCAAACATCCTTATATAGAGAGAGAGTGTGTGTATGTGTTTGTGAGTGAGGAAGAAAGACGTTATTCATACTGTTAAACAGATATTTTGTAAAAATCCCTATATATGGGAGCTGTGATATTGTAAAAACGAGTAATCCGATTAACTTATCTCAATTGTTGTGATTGGGGGATGAACTGTAACACTGACATAATATTCTACTTATAGTCATGTATATGCGATTTTAGTTGAAATTTTAACGTTTTTTCGTAACTTTATAAATATTTTTTACACTCTTTTCATTATCAGTCTGGTGTTTGAGAGCCTAGAGATTAGCTTTGGGAACGAGAGCTATTTGATATGCATGTCCATGATTCACATCTTCGTTGTCGGTCATTTGCTGTTCTACATTCTATTTCAGCATTAGCTTACATGGTTCAAGTGCGTCTAGACGACCTTCGTCTACCAAGGAAATATGATTGTACTTTGTGAAATAAGTTTGGCAACTTGGAAAGTGCTAAATGTGGTTGTATAGCTAGCCAGCTGATTACTGACCATGTTGAAGCTGTGGGGTAGTTCCGCATCCGGATGCCTAAAGCTCATAATGGACCCATAACGTCATTGGGCATCAAATGACGTCGTGACAATGGAAATAGTTGAGTAATTATGTAAAATCTCTTAATCTGTGTGATTCCAGACTGCTCAGAGAGCATCTTTTAATGAAGAAAGGCAATAGGTTGCAATAGCTAATATGCTCCATGTGTTCTTGGAAGCTAGCTCTCACTATGCAATTCTGAAGTGTGCCGCGTCCAAATGGAATAATGACGTGCGTGACGAAATCTGGTTATGTATGAGAGTGTCGAGGAAGACGTGAACGGCCCTTTTCCTTGAAAAGTTCCTTGCAGTCAAGTATTGAGATCAACTGTTCTTTGATGAAAAATAGAAAAATAGCCTTTGCAAGCAGACAGACAGGCTGATGAAAACAAAATTAACAGGAGGAGGGACAAATTTCAAAAATAAATTAGGTTGTGGAGTGGCTGGTAAGACTTGCACATAGATGAAAAGGACGAATCACTCCAAACGACACATTTGCTCTTACTCTTATTCGTCTACTGTTGTCTTGGATGAAGCATTTTAGGTGAGAGATGATGTACTGCAAGAAATCTTGAGAGAGCCATTAATAAGAAATAAGGATCAGTGGAAAGACAATATCTTATGATATTCGTCAGCTTTTTTTCAGCACTGACACCCAATCGCCTTCCTTCACCGGAAAAAGCAGCCGGCATATTTTCAGCTAAACTGAAATCGTTCTGAGCTCCGGCAAGTATTTGACCAGCGTTTAAATTACACGATTCACTCACACTACTGGCAGGTAACGTTACTTCGACCACATCTAAAGTGTATGTCGAAGTATTTATCTTGTCTTGATAGTCCAAAAAAGGAGGGTTCACTTATGAGATGGTTTCTAGACTAGTAAGTCCACATTTCCATATTTGATCATTAGAGTCATACATTGAAGATTAAGAGATGATCATAAATGGACAGAGAGAAGATGGAGAGTTGACACTCCGGTGTTGAAAAAGCTTAATATGGTTTTGTGGTTCACATTTCAATGAGTCCTCTTGAAACATGGCCAGCTCTTTGGAAGACAAAGATGAAATCTTAGTAATTGAAATCGGTATGAAGAGCAAACAGCCTGAAGATATGCGACGAAAAAGGATTGCTGTGGGTGTTATATTTAAAGTTATCAATGATGTCATGACGAAATCTAAATGAGCTCATCTCGCCAACTTGTATTCTCATCTATGCCGCTGCAAGCACTTCTTCATTAAACTTCTTCTCTTCTATATATTTCAAAAGAATAAAAATTTTAATTAAAATGCATGATTTTCCTTATAGAAATAACAAGTTATGTTCCAAACGTATATGAATGACATATGGACTCATGAGAAGAGATATAAAGGTCTCGTCTGGCCAATTGTATTCAACTGCGTGAAGCAGGAACTAACTTCTTGATTTGAAGCTTCAATCCTTATAAAGAGAGTAGAGACTTTCGTCTATTTCAAAAGCAAAAGTTTTATTTATTTTTTCCATTCAAAATAGTAAAACGACAACTTGGGAATCGAATAATACCCTCATGTGTGTGTGTGTCTCTCTTGTAGTATAGAAATACAATCAATTTTAATACACTAATTGGTCTATATGTGACAAGATACATCATCATATACACTACAGATCGGCTGTTCCCCAATCTTGCAACACACAAATTTGCATATGTGAAAACGTGCGTGAAAATTGTGCGTGGATCTTGTAAACTGAGTAAACATCTCATTTCATATTCAGATGCAAAGTACAGTGGTTGGCATTCTCTCTCTCTCTTTATCCATCTCCCTCTCTCTCTCTCTCCTTTCTTCCTCCTTTTTTTTTTTAATTTTCCCAATCTCATCGAGCAAAGTTCTCAGGTTGAGCTTTTTCTTTTTTTTTTCTTCAAACTCGAAGCAAGTTATCTGACTACAAGGTAGAGGTCCCGGCCATGACAGATGGAACAGGTGGAAATTTGATTGGTACGTAATACAATTTCACAATTTTCACAGCTCACATGCGTATGCCTTCGATTATTTATTTTAAGAAATTATTATCATATTTTTCTATTTTTTAGTACTTTCCCTTTCTCTTTCTCTCTTTCTCTCTCTCTCTCTCTACCTCTTTACACATCGCTCTCTCTCTCTCTCTGTCCCCTTCTCTTTTTGTCGTAAATTATGGTAATTATGAAAACAACAAATGGGAAAGTGTTATTTATTATAACTTCATCTTGCCTCCCTTGGCTACTCTCTACTCCCATCGCTCCCTCTCTCTTCTCCATTCACTCTCTCTCAGTCCCTCTTATAATCTTTTCTTTTTTCACTTTACGTGTTATTATTTTTATTCTGTTTATTATGCTCGTTTCAGACCATGTGCTTCAGAAGGCTATGTCAAGCCAGCCTAGACGTCCAGCCTTCTTTTGGTTGCCCCGCCTCCACCCTCGCTAGCTCGACGTTTGTCTTCGTTTGGAAAAGCCGCTCAGCTGAAGCTTTGCATCAGTTGTGTAAGGCTTCTCTAACTTTGCTCATACCGATATTTCAGATATCTATTGCCATATTATTGAATCAGATCGTTTCATATGCTGTACCCGACGCTAACTCTCAATTTGATCATTTTCGGTTAGTCCATTTATATATTCTAAGAAGTTGTTCCCGTTGGTCCTTGCTTGATGTGTAGGTGTGAAGGTGTGTTCCGGGAATAGTAACCATCGCTACACGAACTCTCTTTCTTAGCTTCTTTTCGGCATGTTCAAAGGTTTTCTTCATGTGGGAGTGGAATACAAAAACATATTGCGATTAAGAATAGTTCGTGTTTAAGTAAAATTGTGGATTTCTCTAATTACAATTGAAAACTGCGATTTACCAAAGATGGATGTTCATTTTGTGGAGTAGCGGATTTCAAAAGTACTTTTCCAAACACAAAACAGAATACTAGTTGACATTCGTCGTAGATTATTATGAAAGTGAGGATTAGCTGAAGAGTCAGTTTCAGGATGTGATAGAAATGAAAACAAAACCGACGTTCTTCCAATCCTCATATGTATGTGTAGAAAGCATATCTTGATGTTGCTTTTTTTGTAATCTTTTCCAAATGTTTGTGACAGTATGTGAGAGATCAGAAAACGATTGTTGAGAGAGAAAGAGGGAGGGAGAGAGAGTGAAATGATTGTATGCACACATCGCTTGCAGAAGATTTCCATCATTTGGTCTTTTTGCTCCTCTTATGTAAGTCCTTCCGAACATTTGCATAATTTTAAATTTTCTCACATATGAACGCATTTTTTAGCGAATATAGAGACTGACCAAGCGAGAAGGCAAAAAAAAAAAAGAAAATGAGCATCAATAGTTCTACGAATGTGTATTGAAAAGAACTAATGAATGCTTTCATCATGAGATGATAACAGACTCTCAGCTTAGTTGTCTGCCATGCTCTCAACCTCGTTAATTGGTTATCCTCCAATCTTTTGAAGTAATAAAAAGACAACAACATATATAACAGTTTATCTGATCTTTTGTCTTTTCTAATAATTTATAAGTTCAATGTAACCCTGGGATACGTGACTGAATCTTGCACAGCCATCCATATTCAACAGCCTCGATCTTGTTTGAAAATGTATGTAGATGAGCACTTCCACCTCATCACATCTCCCAACTTGATAATGATTGTTAAAGCTCATAGAAGCGGATGAACTTCTGTAATATCTATCTATCTATCTATCTATCTATCTAGACACACACATCTCATGCATCAACTTGTGAATTCTATACGATTTTTTGTATTTTCGTTTCCTGCCGTCAATTAACGTATCCATGTTTTGCTGCCATTCGTCCATTCTGCTTTCTTTTCCTTCTTAACTAATACTACCTTTTCTCTTTTTGGGATTTGTCATTCCTCCTTCTTCTTCTTCTTCTTCTTCTTCTTCTGCTGCTTCTGCTGCTTCTTCTTCTTTCTTGCGTTCCCATACCCGTTCGCATTCTTTGTTTCATCAATGAGACGACTGGTATAGGGGGAGCAAACATGCAGAAGCTGAGAAAATTTTGGCCAAGATGAACCATAAATGGAAACATTTTGACCAGTTTAAGCCATGCCATTGCCCATTCTGTGAAAACTAAACCATGCTTGAATCCTCATTTTTTCTTTCTTTTTTTTTCACGATTGAGAATAAGATTGAAAGGGCTTCCTAAACATTTCTTCATTCTCTAACCATTTCTACCAATCGCTTTAATCCCCGCCATCAATCTCGGACGTGTTAAAGTCAAGTCATAGTTGAAACTGGGTGATATTAAACGATGAACTCTCGTGCAATTCAATGACGAAGAAGGAAGAAAAGACCGAATGAGAGAATTCGAAGCGGAATAAGGAAGAGCAGGAATTCCTAGTAAAAAAAGAGCAATCTGACGTCGTTTATGAACTCAAGAACAAGGAAAAAAAAAGAAAAAAATAATGAGAGCAAGAGAGAGGGAATGGGGGAAACAACCGCTCTGTGCGCAAGCATCATCATCATTGGATGAGCTAACGTCATTTCACGTGGAAAAAATGACGTGAATTTATTCTAATTAACTGCCGCTGGCCATCCAGATGTTTATAGGGGAATTCATAATTAGAGGCTTTTTCATTGTAATTTAATGAAATTGTATCTTTAATAATGAAACTCAGAATTCAAACAGAAAAAAAAACAGAAAAGTGTACTGATGAACGGTGATCTCTTATCATCGATCCCTGCTGCTTACATTGCTTGTATGTATCCTCTGGCGTAAGTCCAATAAATGAGCCAACAGAGACAATTTGAAGATGAAAAAACACAAAAATATGTATAATTACATCTTTCATTGCAATCTAACATTGTCCACCGTCCTTTTGACTTTCTCTCTCTCTCTTTCCACCTCTCTCTCTCTCTCATTCTCTTTGACTCAACTACAACCGTTAGATCATTGTAGGTTCAGAGATCAGATGTGACTTGTGTGCGTCAAAAACTAGCTTATGTCGATGCTCTTTCATGAGTTCTTATGAAGAAGAGAAAGCTGCGAATAGAGTCTAGTGTACTATACTGATGCTTAATGTCCAACTCAACCAACAATTACATCAATTTATCAACATTGTGTTTGAGAGGCCGTCGCTCATAAACTTCATCTAAGTTATTCGTTGCACGATAAGAATGCTTAATTCTAATGAGTAGTCACCAAAATAGTCTAAATTTGGCTTTTGCCATTTAGAGAATGACGAATGAATAAGGCAAGTTCTGCAATTATCATCTACAACCTCTGACGACTTATCAAGGTGAGAGTGGAAAGAGCTAGAGAGGGTTGGCAACATGAGACAGAAAGGATGTGGGGGGACACAGCAGCAGCAGCAGCCACAGCAGTAGCAATAAGTACGGCATCAAGTTTTGTCAACTACTGCTTGTAATTATCCATCAAATATGATCCAGCTCTATGTTGTTAATGACTACCTCCCTAAGCTTGTCCTGTCCCGTCTCTCCCTCTCTAAAGCCTTATCGCTCAAGTAATGACGGAAGTTCTCAGTTTGCTATCATAAATGTGTTCAAAAGAGTCATTCGATATAATTTGGAACAAATGGCTGTTCCGCTTTTGAAATTTTTGCAAAAAGGAGAGAAAGAAGAAAAAAAAGTTTTTTTTTGTAGTTTTCCGACTTTCTAAGGAATGGCAATCAAATGAAAAACGATGAAATTCGGAATATAGGCAGTTATACCGCGGAAGGCTTACTAGTGCCATCAGCCTAATTCCGTACTTCCATTCGAAAATAGTCAGAGAAGGCAGCTTCTGAATTATGTGAACTCAATGAAGGTTTACTGAGGACGCAGCTCACATCTAAATGTCCATTTTAAGCCCTTTTTTTCTTCAATAAAAGATTATACTCTACGTTTCGTGCGCTTGATATGCTCATTAGATTTTCACATTTATGGACATCGTTTGAGAGCATACTGACCTTAGAAGCTTATTCTAATATCCAGGCGAGATATCAAGTTCAAAAAAGGGATAAAAGGCAATGAGAAAAGACTTATGAGTCTTGGAGAGGAAGTGGAACGCTTGAGGGACAAGAGAGAGAAAGAGATGTGAATGGTTCAAGAATGGACAAGCAAGCCACTTTGAATTTTCTGTTTTCGCGATTGAAAATGAAGAATGGCCTCAGGGCAAGAGATTCGCCACAAGGAATACTTTTAAATAACTTCATTAGTGAGAGCTAGCAATGAGTTTCAAAGCTCTAAAGGTGAAAGCATTAGAAGAGATCTGAAATCAACATAAAACAAACTTCCTGCATGTTTAAGACGTTTGTTATGAAGGAAACAGATGCAAGGATATCATCCTGTTGTTTATTATATAAAAAAGGATATAAATCTCCTGTTTTTTAAACTATATGCATATAGTTAATGACATAATCTATTAAAATATGTCAATTATGCCGTTTATAAATATCCATTTCCATTAAGAATTATTTATGAACTGCTGCTTATGAAGAAGAGTCGCAGTCAGTCATCATCCAGCTTCCATCTTCATGACTCCACACACACACATTGATGTGAACGAATTTTGTGATAGATTATATGAATGGGTGATGAGAAGGACAACAACAAAAAAAAGAAGAATGTTTTCAATGACACTGTGTTCAACCTAGTTTTCATCGTCATATGAAGACCATCTTTCCACATCTACTTCCATTTCATTCATCTTCATGTGGTCTTGCTCTTGCTCCAGCTCTCCTAACCTCTCTCTCTCTCTCTCTCTCTCTCACTCATTCGCATATGAGCGTTGTTAGATGCTTGATAAAGCCAAATCCAAATTTCAACCAGCAAAAAACTGAATGAGAAAGAAGGTTTTTTTTGTTTGAGTGCACAAATATTTGGCAAAATATTAGATTTCGACTGCCTTTCATATATATATAGTTCAGAGCTTGAAACAGGCTGGACTGAGCGTTGCTACTAATTCCTGGTCTCGCTCTTCTCATTGCGAGGAGCTGTTGGAAAATGGAAAAATAATAAATAAATTGACTTTACATTGGACAAATAGCAATGAAAACAGTTGAATATATTATAAATTATGCAAAATATATAATTAATTGCTTTTCCAAAAACAGCTTTCTCTACTCATTTCGCTGAATAGCTGAGCTCTCTAAGCTCTGAGCCTGAGAGCTTGAGATGTGTATCTGTGTCTGTGTGTGTATGTGTGTTGATCGGTATATGTATCTATCTATGTCAACTTCCTGATTATAGAGAATGAAAGCAAAAGATTGAATCTATCGATTCATAAATTAGATGTTCTAAGACCGGAAGTCAATAATTAAAACTTATTCAGAAGCGCATTCGAAAATTCTCGTACTTGAATGGCATTTTTGTTTTGTCATGTCATGACCTTAGTTTATTTCGGGAACGTTTCTGGGAAAACATTAGGAAGGAAAGACTACTTTATCATGAATAGCAAAGATTTTCTTCAAAACCCCTCTCTCTCCCTCCCTCCCTCCCTCTCCCTCTCACCCCCTCAATTGATGAACTTTGACACAAAAGGGTGTTATGCAAACGATTTTTAATTTTTCTTCATTCTTTCAGGTGGGCTTTCACTACTACTCAATCTTGCATCATTTGTTCCATTGCTCAACCAGAAAAAAGGAAAAACATTATTGTTAGTTTACTACGGTTGTATCTTCCTTATCTCTCATGCTCAACACATTTTCAGGGACAATCCTGGTCATCTACCGTTATTTCTACTACTTCTACTAGATACTGGACTGGCTCTCATCCTATCAGCACCCATATACTCTCTTACAACACAGAGGTACGCTCAAAATGCAATTTGTTTTGAACGAAACTGAAAAATCCATGCGGAAGCTATCGAGGCATATATTTCCTTCATGTCTTAAAACATAATCATTACCATAGTTATTTTATTGCAGTTTATGACTTTCCCATAACATTCACTCATTCATTCAAGTTTTTTTTATTAAAGGAAGTAATTTTCTGTTTCAAAAATGGTCTTTCTCTCTCTCTCTCTCCCTTCACTCTCTATTCTCTTGTGCCAATCTCTTCCTACTTCTCACCCAAAATTAGAATACGTGGAACAATGGGCGCACAGTTGCTAGGCGTTCATTTTCAAATTTATTTTTTAGCGCGAGCGGTTGCATTCCTATCAAATTTACTTTCTCATTTCTAATTTCAAACGGCGAGCGTGTCATTAGAGTGCTTTAAGGAGCATTTCGATTTCTTTTCCAAAGCTTTTGATGGAACATCAATCATCGTTCTGTAGTCTGTTGGAAATAATCCTGGACAAAAAACCTCCTGAAAGGTATTAAGGAATCAGGAAGATGTCTATTTCTCAGCTTTACTTTAATGAAAGAAGCCAGATGAAGAGGGAGAGGGAGAGAAGGAGGGATGGTGTTGGAGAAGACAAGAAGTAGTTGTAAAACAGATTCTTGCATTCATACTTTAATTAGTCTTCCTTTCAATAAATTGTTTGTTTTCCTCTCTCTCTCTCTGTCTATCTCTCTCTGTCCCTCTCCCTCTCTCTCTCTCACTCCTCTCAAAGTTCATACATCGTAATTGGAATCAAAAAAATTGAAAGAAGAAAGCGTCGTCAATTGCCTTCTTCTACTTGGTCTTTAATCAGTTTTGTATAATCTTTTTTAGAAATAACAACATTTCCTTCCAAATAATATTAAAAACTCATATTTCAGGGCTATTTTTGACGAAGCAACATGTCAAATCTATGGTTCTTTGGATATGGCCTTATCTCTTGCTCAAATTGTAACTGCTTGTACTATTGCATTCGATCGATATATATCCACCATATCTCCTAAATGGGGTATTACATGTTATCATCAACAAATCATTCACAATTCCTTATTTTTGCAGGAAAATGGCGATGTCACGGCAACTACATGAAGCTTATTTCTATTATTCTACTCAGCGTCACGTTGTGGAGTGTTGTACCCATATTTGGATATGGAAAATATGATCTGTTTCTGGATGGACACTTCTGTTCATTAGATTGGAAGCAGGTAATTCTGATTCTCCAAATTCAGGTACTCAACTCTATCTTACAGGGAGACATTGATGACTCATCCTCCCCACTTGCAAAAGAACAAGCACATCGTTACATTGGTTTCTTGACGGCAACATGTCTGGTGTTCTTCTTGATTCCAGTCTGTATTGCTTCTTCATTCTACTACAGCGTCATTGATCATGTCGAAAGGTTTATATATCTCTGTGTTCTTACCTCATTTTCTGAGTTACAGACTGAACTCAATGGATACCAGGGAAGAAGCAAACTCTTCTTCTCCAACTTCTAAGTGCCCGTGGGCCTTCCAGAATCATGTAGCTAAGGTAAATACTGTTTCGAAACCGAGTAGCTGAAACCGAAAGCTTTAGGTTGGCTTGGGTTGTTTATTATCTTCAACCATCCCATATTTGGCTTATTCTGTTGTTTGTTTAAATCCGATGAAATCCGATTTTCGCAACGCCAGCTATGTGATTGGACCTGTGATTGCCAGCCGATTCGCGCCTTTACTCAATCCTATCCTCTATATATGGTAGAGTTCGATCGAGTGTTCAGTAACTCAACCCTTTCTTTCAGGCTCAATTCCGAAGTGGTTCCGATTGATGCTTGGATAGCCAAAAAGTGGGCAAAGCCGAAACCTCGCACAACGGCCAAGAATTATCAAACCATCAGTTTAATGATGAATGTGCCAGGAGTTTCATTTCCAATTCTGACTCCATCAGTACCGAGAAGACAACTACCTCAGGTGACACTTTCTAACGACGCGTCATCACTAACCATTTGTATTACAGATACCACCTCACCTGGTCTCACCTTCCAAACGACCTAGTACCTCATTCTTCGATGAACAACAGCCAATGCTTCGATAAATGATTAATATTTAATCAAAGTTGTTCTTATACGATTAACGGGTTTCTGTATAATAGTAAAGGCTTATATACTCTGCAGTACGGCTAGTGTTTCATTTCATTTTCTAATAAAATTGAGATTTTTCGTGTTTCTTTGCTCGGACAAAATACAAGGTGAAGGGAACACAAGAAAGCCATCAAAACAAAAGACTTCCAATCCAAAAATGTTTTTTTCTGCGGACTCCATGCAGTTGATCCACAATCTTTGAAGCTCTCAAGCTTTTTAAGGAGGGCTATGACTCTAATGTAAAGCAGCAACAACGACAATAGATTCTCCTCATTGTTTCTACGTTTCATTACTCAACAACTCATTTGCAATATTCGTCTTGTCATTAACCGAAAGAGTACTGAATGGTCCTTTCTAATCGACCTGATGACAGCATACTTAAGGCGCCTAAAGCAGTTATCTTCACTCAGTGAACCTTCTCATCGTTCAGAGAGGCGAGTCTCTTCCCTTGTGTCTCATTATTTCAAATTATTACTTTATCAGTTCTAAAGATGAATAAGTTTCGAAATTCCATCTCATTCCGCTTTATGTATATTCTAATGACGCCACAACTCTCAACATTGATGTAAATTCGTTACCACGTTGACTTCCTGCAGCCCTGAAGCGAATACTCACAAATTATCCACTCAGACAATTAAGGAAAATTTCTTCTTCTCATCTTTCTTTGTAGAATCCATGTGTTTGATTGAAGGGTAATGTCTGTATTACCCATTTTATGGTTCTTCGTATCCGGTGATTATTTGTTCTTCAGCTAGTCACTGTCTGAAACGCGCTCCAATGACACAAACCTTTACGCGTATATAATGTATTCGAAACTCTCACATTTCGCGGCTTTAAAGGCGAATTTCAAGTATCTCTTTGAATTTTACTAAGCTTTGATACCATTTTCTAAATTCGTTTTCAAACTATCATATGTAAGCTATAAATAATTCATTTCTAGAGGTTTGTATTCAGGGCGCCTGATTTCACCATGCCTGATACGAACGTGTTCTTGTTTTACCCTAATCTTATTGGGTATGGCCGCATTGTGCTAGCGGTGATGTCGTTCCGCTACATGATGGAATCTCCAATCTGTGCTATTTTTTGGTAACTTTTTAAAATTACATTCTGCAGATCAAGTTATTTTTTGAAGTTACGCTCTGAGTGCAGGTTTGGATGCCTTCGATGGATGGGCTGCGCGCACCTATAATCAAAGCAGTCGATTCGGAGCGATGCTCGACCAATTAACAGATCGTTGTGCTTTGATGGCAATCTGTATGGCTCTTTGCCATTTCTACAGTGATTATATGTTCTGGTTCCAGGTTAGTTTTAGTTGAAATAATGTTTGCTAACCATTTTCGTATTTTTTCAGATGAGCGCCGTCATTGATATTGCGTCTCACTGGCTCCATTTGCATGCAACCGACCTCTCAGGATCATCTAGTCACAAACAGGTTTCTTTTTCTTTAAAACTTAAGTTTTTAACTTACTGTTACTTCAGAGTTCTAACCCAATTCTCAATCTGTACTATACCAGTCGTCCATTCCTCGGATTTATGTGCGGTGGCAACGAAGCGTTCTACATCTTGATGTATCTCCGCGCTTTCTATCCTGGCCCATCCATTTTCGGAATTCATTTCATGTCTTACTTGGCTGCCATTGCTTTCCCTATTGCATTTGTTAAGACTGTGATCTCTCTTGTGCACATGGTTACAGCAGCCCAAATGGTAGTTGATCATGACGTAAAGCAGATCACCGAAAGAGAAACCAAGAAAAATTAATGTTGTGAAAGTTCCTAAATTTCCAATCTTGTGATAGTTTCCCGACATTCCGCTTTAAACACTTCAGAGCTAGTTTCAAACAATTGTACTTAATATTTCTATGTTCTCATAATAATAATAATAATAGTTTTATATGAAACAGATTGTTATCTGTTCGTACGTGTTCATTCACTCCCAGAGTTACCTCGAATCGTTTCCCTTTACCTCTTTCAGAACATCTTTTAGGGTTTTAATCCCATTGAGCTGAAATATGGCGGACGAGTTAGCGCGTATCCAGCAATATGAGTACAGACAGGTTTGCATTCTTACCCTTTCCCCTTTTATTTATGTTTTGTGTAGAACTCTAATCTTGTACTCCAAGTTGATTATAACCTCACCGACCGTAGGGGTCGGGAGGAACCTACTGGAGAGGTTTTAGCTCTCACAGATAAGGTTATAAAAGGAATGAAAATGGGAGACAAATATCAAAGAGGAAGAGCTCCAGTGCAAGAAGAGTCCAAAAAGAAGAAGTTTGTCCGCACTTCTGTTGTCCAAAACAAAAAGCTCGTTTAAGGAAGAAGAGACACGATGTAGAAGAGTCTCGTGCTTCTGCGAAAGCCGTCATTGGTGATAGTACAGATCTCTTAGGTGTATACAAACCAAGAACACAAGAAACCAAACAAACTTATGAAGTTATACTTGCATTTATTCAAGACGCTCTCGGTGATCAGGTTAGATGCTCTTCTCATGCAAGTTGTACCTCATCATGTTTAGCCCCGTGATGTGTTATGTGGAGCTGCTGATGAAGTATTGGCTGTTTTAAAATCAGACAGAGTTCGAGAAAAAGAAAGAAAGAAAGAGGTACAGTAATGTCACTTCTGGCCAGTTTCATCAGTTGTTTAGATTGAACAACTCTTGGGAACACTTACTGATGAACGTTGTCACGCTTTAATAAATTTGACGAAGAAGATCACAGACTTCTCCACAGAAGAAGAAACGAGGATGGAAACAGTTCGTTTCAAACTCGAGTGTATCTTCTAGTTTCGTATATTCCAGGATGAAATCGATGAGAGTGAAGGAGTTAACGTACAGTTCGACGATTCCGACGATGAAGAGGATGAGATCATCACAGACATCAAACGTTAGTGTATTCTTATCTCCCTATGTTAAGCGTGTAATTTGAAGGTGATAATGAAGAAAGCTCCAGTGAAGGAGAAGGTGGAGATGAAGCCGAATACCAAGAAGTTCTCCACGGCACAGGCCTCGAAGACGATGATGAAAGAGATTCCAAGAGAAACAAATTGCACGCCAGAGATGTCGATGCCCATTGGATTCAGAGATCTTTAGCCAAATTCTACAAAGATGCCATTGTTGCTCAACAAAAAGTCACAGAAGTCATCAATGTGTTGAAGGTAGTTCTTCTGATTCTTGGTTTTAATTTCTTTGTTTTGTTAGGAGGCCACTGATGACAGAGATTGTGAGAATCAGCTCGTTCTGTTACTCGGATTTGATCAGTTCGACTTCATTCGCACACTTCGCCAGCACAGACAACTTGTCTTGTACTGTACCATGCTTAAACAAGCCGGCGATGATGAAAGAGTCAAGGTCTGTTGAACAAAAAATTTCTGTATTCTATTTCGTCTCTTTTAGATCGAAGATGAAATGAAAGCTCGTCCTGATCTTCACCACATCCTAGCTGAACTTCAAGAGGAAGATAGCACAGATATTGTTGAAGTGAGTGATAATCAAGGGGATTCATGTTATTTTCTTTCAATTCAGACTGAAAGAGCTAAAAGAGACAAGAACGCAGCTCGTAGAGCAGTTGCTGCTGCCGGAGACGATGCAGTGCAAGCTGGACAATGGCTTGCCAGTCGTAAAGTTTTAGATCTCGATGAACTAGCATTCACAAATGGTAGTCATGTCATGAGTAACAAGAGGTTCGTTAAGTATGCCTGCACTTATAATTTTTGTTTTGCAGATGTGAACTTCCTGATGGATCATATCGTAAACAAAAGAAAAGTTATGAAGAAATTCACATTCCTGCATTGAAACCCAAGCCATTCGAAGAGGGAGAGAAATTAATTCCAATTTCCTCTTTGCCCAAATGGGCTCAGAAGGGATTCGTTGGATACAAAGAGTTGAACAGAATTCAATCTAGACTGTGCGACAGCGCTTTGAATCATGATGAAAACTTACTTCTGTGTGCCCCTACCGTAAGTATTTCGTCAACCTCACAGTATACATTTTCTCGTATAGGGAGCTGGTAAGACAAATGTTGCTCTTCTCACAATCCTTCATGAAGTTGGAAAACATCTGAATGAGGATGGTTCAGTTCGTTTGGATGAATTCAAATGTGTTTATATCGCTCCCATGAAATCTCTCGTACAAGAAATGGTCACAAGTTTCAAGAAACGCTTGGAACCATACAATATTCAAGTAAGCTTTAGCATCCAGCACTCTCTCATCATGTTTCTAGGTCGGAGAAATGACAGGAGATTCTCAAATGAGTAAAGAACAGTTCATGGCAACCCAAGTCATTGTATGTACTCCTGAGAAGTATGATATCGTTACCAGAAAGGGAGGAGAGAGAGCTTATAATCAGCTTGTCCGTTTGATCATCTTCGATGAAATCCATTTACTTCACGATGATCGTGGTCCAGTTCTCGAAGCCGTTATTGTTAGGTATGAGAGTTGTTCATTTTCGAACTAATTATAATTCTTAGAACTTTGCGTCAAATGGAACAGACCCACGATGATTGTCGTCTTGTTGGTCTATCTGCTACTCTTCCTAACTACCAGGATGTAGCTACCTTCCTCAGAGTTCAGCCTGACTTCTTGTATTACTTCGAGAACAGGTATACTTGAACGTTCATCTGTTGCTCACTGTTTATTTTCAGCTTCCGTCCAGTACCTTTGGAGCAACAGTACATTGGTGTCACTGAGAAGAAGGCTCTCAAGAGATTCCAGGCTATGAATGAAGTTGTATACGAAAAGATCATGGAACACGCTGGAAAAAATCAAGTACCGTCGTCTGATCGAATGGAAATATTTTTATAATTCTTCCAGGTTCTCGTTTTTGTCCACTCTCGTAAGGAAACAGCTAAGACTGCCAGAGCTTTGATTGATCAGTGTATGCAGAACGATACTCTCAACCTCTTCTTGAAATCAGGAAGTGCTAGTTCACAGATTCTCTTCGAAGAAGCTAATGAAGTAAGAAGTTATATGAGATTCCTCTTCACTTCACTCTCAATTCCAGGTTAAAAATTCCGATTTGAAAACTATTCTGCCTCACGGTTTCGCTATTCACCACGCTGGAATGAACAGAGTTGATCGTACACTTGTTGAAGATTTGTTTGCCGGAAAGCATATTCAAGTAGATTGATTGTTACTCAATTGTGAATTTTATAATATTGTTCAGGTTCTCGTTTCTACCGCTACCTTGGCTTGGGGAGTTAACTTGCCAGCTCACGCTGTCATCATCAAGGGTACTCAAATTTATAATCCTGAAAAAGGAAGATGGACTGAGTTGGGAGCATTAGATGTTATGCAGGTTTGAATTTATTATTCACATGTTTGGAATATCATTTCTCTTCAGATGTTGGGAAGAGCTGGTCGTCCTCAGCACGACGTCAAAGGTCACGGTATCCTCATTACTCATCATTCTGAGCTCCAGTTCTATTTATCTCTCATGAACCAACAAGTATTCACTGTTCTCAGATTTTCTTTTAATTTTTCTCGTTTCAGTTACCAGTTGAGAGTCAGGCCATCGCTAGACTACCAGACATGTTGAACGCCGAAGTTGTCTTAGGAACTATCAGCAGTGTCAATGATGCCATGAGCTGGCTCGGATATACGTACTTGTTCGTTCGTATGTTGAAGAACCCAACTCTTTATGGTATCACCTACGAGCAGGCTGTATGAGATCTGTACTCTTTAATGTATTTATTTATTGTATTTCAGAAAGCTGATCCACTTCTTGAACAACGTCGTGCTGATCTCATCCACACCGCTGCAATTCAATTAGATAAAGGACATTTGGTCAAGTACGATAAGAAGAGTGGAATGATCCAGGTATTTTCATAGCTGTTTTGATGCTGTTATGGTTCGTGTTTCAGGCCACCGAACTTGGACGAATCTCATCTCACTTCTATTGTTCTTATGATTCCATGCAAACATACAATCAGTTGTTGAAGCCAACATCAACTGAAATTGATCTCTTCCGTATTTTCTCACTCTCCAGTGAATTCAAACAAATTGCGGTATGTTAGCTTCTAATCTTCGAAATCATATTTGAGTGTTCAGGTTCGTGAAGAAGAAAAGCTTGAGCTCCAAAAACTGGCTGAACACGTACCTATCCCAATCAAGGAGTCTCTCGACGAGGGTAGTGCGAAAACAAATGTTCTTCTCCAGGTGAATTTTTCATAAGAAGCCATCGTGTTCACTGCTTTGTTTCAGGCTTACATCTCTCAATTGAAGTTGGATGGATTTGCTCTCCAATCTGATATGGTCTTCGTCGCTCAATCAGCAGGACGTCTGTTCCGTGCTATATTCGAAATCGTTCTTTGGAGAGGATGGGCCGCTTTGGCATTGGTATGTCATGCTCTTCCAAAACAAGTCACTGTCTTCTACTTTTAGAAAGTACTTTCTCTGTCCAAAATGGTGACAGCTAGACAATGGCAGTCTTTGAATCCTCTTCATCAATTCAAGAAGATTCCAACCGATGTTGTCAGAAGTATTGATAAGAAGAACTACTCTTTCGAGCGTTTATACGATTTGGATCAACATCAGCTCGGTGAACTGATTAAGATGCCCAAGATGGGAAAACCTCTTCACAAGTTCATTCGTCAGGTTTGATTTTCATTATTTTCTCTCTTTCATTTTCTATTTTGAAGTTCCCCAAATTGGAAATGACTACTTTGATTCAACCAATCACACGTACCACCCTCAGAATTGAATTGACCATCACTCCTGATTTCAAATGGGATGAGAAGTAAGTGGGAATACCGAATTTCAAAAACTCTTGATGATTGTTTGTAGGGTTCACGGAAATGCTGAAGGTTTCTGGATCTTCGTCGAAGATGTTGATGGTGAAACTATTCTTCATCATGAATACTTCCTTTTGAAACAGTTCGTTTCGATCTCAAAACACGCTAATTACTTTTGTTTTTTAGAAAGTTCTGCGAAGACGAGCATGTCGTCAAGATGTTCGTCCCAGTATTTGATCCTCTGCCACCACTTTACTTCGTCCGCGTTGTATCTGACAGATGGCTCGGTTCCGAAACGGTTCGTTGTTTATTGAAGGAGATTGAAACAGTTCAAAGCTTTTAGGTTCTTCCAATTTCATTCCGTCACTTGATTCTCCCAGAGAAGTACCCACCTCCAACTGAACTTCTTGATCTCCAACCCTTACCGGTCTCTGCAGTATCTAATCCAAAGTACATTGAAATGTTCATTGCGAACGGAATCAAAGTTTTCAATCCCATCCAGACTCAAGGCATGTTTCAATCGCTATGCGAGTGTATAATTTTTCTATTCAGTGTTCCGTACTGTGTATGAAAACAACGATAATGTTCTTGTTGCTGCACCAAACGGTTCCGGAAAGACTATTTGTGCTGAGTTGGCTATTTTGAGACACTTCGAAAATACCCCTGAAGCTAAATGCGTCTATGTAACTCCAATGGAAGACATGGCCATTAAGGTATAGAACTACTAACAGCGTGTTGCTATGATTTATTTTCAAGGTTTACAATGATTGGTCTGAAAACTTGGCTGCAACTATCGAACAACAAGTTGTCCTCCTTACGGGAGAGCCTTCCACTGACTTGAAACTTTTGCAAAGAGGAAAACTTATTATTGCTACCCCAGAAAGATGGGATAATATTTCTCGAAGATGGAAACAGAGAAAGAACGTGCAGGCCGTCAAATTATTTGTTGTCGATGATTTGCATATGATTGGAGGATCAAATGGGGTATGAACATTAATGGATTCAAGTTTTTTTAACTTGTTAATGTTACAGCCTGTTCTGGAAGTTATCTGTTCCCGAATGCGTTATATGTCGAATCAATTAGAGAGTGCATGTCGTATTGTGGCTCTTTCCTCTTCTCTGACCAATGCTCGGTATGAATAATTAACAGACATAGCTTATACTAGGGTTTTTAGTGATGTTGGTGCTTGGTTGGGCTGTTCTCCAGGATGTACATTCAACTTCCTTCCAAATACCAGACCTGTACCATTGGAGCTCTACATTCAAGGGTTCAATCTATCTCACACCGCGTCCAGATTAGCTGCTATGGTTCGCCCAGTTTATCAATCTATCTGTCGCCATGCTGGTAAAGTATATCCTAAGCCTGCTCTTGTAAGTTCCTCATCATCTTGCCTTGGTACAGATTTGTTTTAGGTTTTCGTTCCTGGAAGACGACAAGCAAGATCCACAGCCGTTGATATTCTCACAATGGCTCACGCCGATGGTCAAGCAAAGCGTTTCTTGCACATTAGTGAGCAAGACGAAACATTCGCGACTCTCCTTGCCGCTATCAATGTAAGAGTCATTCAGAACTCGGAATTTTGATCAAAACGATTTTCAGGATGAAGCTCTCAGAGAAACCTTGTCTGCTGGAGTTGGTTTCCTCCATGAAGGAACTAGCACCAAAGACATGGAAATCGTTGAAAAACTCTTCCAATCTGGTGCCATTCAGGTATGTTTAAGTTCAGAATTTTCATTATTTCGTCTCTTACAGGTGTGTATTGTCCCAAGAAGTATGTGTTACCAAATCAACATGGCTGCATACCTCGTTGTAATTATGGATACACAATTCTATAATGGAAAGTACCACGTCTATGAAGACTATCCAATCGGAGATGTTTTACATATGGTTGGGTTGGCAAATCGTCCTGGCGCCGATCAAGATGGTTTTTCCTTCGCTCTTGAATTGCATAACATCAATCGTTTTCAGCTAAATGTGTCCTGATGTGCCAGTCATCGAAGAGAGATTTCTTCAAAAAGTTCCTTTACGAGCCATTGCCTATTGAGTCTCATTTGGATCACTGCCTTCATGACCATTTCAATGCTGAAATAGTCACAAAAACAATTGAAAACAAGCAGGATGCTATTGATGTGAGTAATACTGATCTGTTACTGATAAACAATACTACGTAATAATCCGGATAATCAGGGTTTTATGATAATTGTAGCACGCGTGGCCTAATGGAGAAGGCGCCGGACTCCGGATCCGGAAATGGGGGTTCGAGTCCCCCCGCGTGTCTAACATTTTAGCTTTTTCAATAATTTAATTACAGTATCTCACTTGGACTCTGCTCTACCGTCGAATGACCCAAAATCCAAACTACTACAACTTACAAGGAGTCACACATCGTCATCTTTCTGATGCTCTTTCTGAATTAGTTGAGAATACTTTGAAAGATCTCGAAAACAGCAAGGTTTTTATTTTATTTCCTCTCCATTGTCATATTTTGTTCGTTTAGTGCATTGCTGTCAAGGATGAAATGGACACATTGCCCCTTAATTTGGGCATGATCGCAGCTTATTATTATATTTCTTACACTACGATCGGTAAACATCTTTAATGTGGACATAATAACGTCTATTTGTTATAGAATTATTCTCCATGTCTTTGCAATCAAAGACCAAATTGAGAGCTTTGATTGAAATCATCTCAAACGCTACTGAATTTGCCAATGTTCCGATGAGACATAGAGAGGATGTTGTATTGAGACAGTTAGCTAATAAACTGCCCGGACAAATGAAAAACCAGAAGTTCTCTGATCCACATGTTAAGGTTCGCCCCTATAGCTCTGAACGGTTGCATTCCGAATCTTTTTCAAGGTTAATCTTCTCATCCACGCCCATCTTTCCCGTATCCAACTTTCCGCGGAATTGAATAAGGATACCGAACTTATTGTTCTCAGAGCTATTCGACTCGTACAAGCTTGTGTCGATGTCTTATCTAGGTACAGAAGTTTGATTTCCATTTTAATTAAACTTTTGTTTATAGTAATGGATGGCTCTCACCCGCTATTAATGCTATGGAATTGAGTCAAATGTTGACACAGGCCATGTACAGCAATGAACCGTATCTCAAACAGCTTCCTCATTGCAATGCTGACTTGCTTACTCGAGCTAAGGAGAAGGTAAAAAATGAAAACATCAAGTCAAATTTAATGAATGTTCTGAATTTAGAAGGTTGAATCTGTCTTCGAATTGCTTGACCTTGAAGATGAAGATAGATCTGAAGTGCTGAAATTGGAGGGAGCTCAGCTCGCTGATGTAGCTAAGTTCTGTAACCATTATCCATCTATTGAAGTCGAACACTCTGTCAACCAGGATACTATTAGCCCGTATGTTTCAAGTGGGATTTATGTGTGATTTTCAATTTTTTTGCAGCGGTGAAGCTCTCGTTGTTTCTGTATCTATGGAAAGAGAAAATGACATCAACAAGTTAGCTCCCCCAGTGGTTGCACCACTTTTCCCACAAAAGAGAAAGGAAGAAGGATGGTGGTTGGTTATTGGAGATACTGCTGAGAACGCTTTATACTCCATCAAGCGGTAAGTACAATTGGCCTAATTGTAATCGTAATGTCCGATTTAAGTTTGACTATCAATGAGAAGGCCGAAATGCATCTTGACTTCGTTCCACCCAAAGCAGGAAAATTCACATATAAGTTATATTTCATTTGTGATTCGTACCTCGGAGCGGATCAGGAGTTGGAATTCAGTTTCAGAGTCGAAGGTAACCATAGCTATAATGATGTTGTTTACCTATTTTTCATCTAGACGGTCGAAGCCGAAAACGAAAGCATGATCGAGAGGAGTAATTCCCGACCTGTCGCCGAAGTGTTCCAAGTTGTTTAATTGTTATTTCATATTGTATCTGACGGCTGTTGGATGTGGTATCGATCCTCATTGTTGGTGGTCTTAGCAAACTCTAATTTGATGAATTTTGTTGAGTTGAATCTTGTTTTTCACCAATTGTAAAAACGGTAGCATTGATTATTTGTATCTAATAAATCACCTTGCAACGATTTGTATCTGATAAAGTTGATTCTTCTTTCGAAAATGAAAATAACACTGTGAAGCGGTTAAAGCACTGCATATTTTATTCTTTTGTAGAAACTGTTTAAGTAGAGAGTCTCATGTGAGACTTTCATGGGCCTCTTCAAACCTTCGATTATTATCTTCTTCTTCGTCCTTTCACTCTATTTCATCCTCTCTTTTGTCTCTCCTCCTTCATTTTCCAATTTCTTTCTGTCTCTCTTTCTATCGTCTTAGACCAATTTCCCTACCGACTTCTCTTTCTCTCCTCACTTATCCTCCGTTCTCTCTTTCATTCAGTTTATGTGTGTGGGGTAGCAGCAGCTGTCCTCTATTGAACGGAACATGCTTTTCCGCTTAAGCGAAAGATCTGTGAACTAGATAGCTGTGATTTCGTTTATTAATCTCAAGATGCTGTTGGAAAACGTGGCGTTGTTGATCATTTGTATGGGTCATTAGACTAGAATGGCTGTTCCGCTCACTCGTATCGATTGGCTTTCTCCATTCTGCTGGTACCATACACAACCGCCGTTGAGACGTTGACGTTTGACCAGACTGTCCTTAGCGAATGCGGACGTCCATGTTTGTGCTTCGAATTTTTCTTTTCATTAATTCGCAATTTTTAATATGTGTACTTTCGTTCGAGAATTTATTTCGTGAGCAATTTCTGTATAAGTTGAGCGTCAGTAATGCTTGCCACGTTTTATTTTTCATTTTCTTCATCAAAGACCGGTCGGAGAAATGACGCCGGCCGGCGTTTGCGTGAGTTACTTATCCTCGCTCTAGCTTTGTTCTGTTTGCAATCTTTATTGATTCATTATATCTTTCGTGATTTCTTCATTTTTATCGTTTCGATCTCCTAGATCTTCCAGTGCGATTTTGCCTGTGCACAGAGAATTGATATCTATACCATTTGTGCTCAATTGCACCAAAACTCAACCAGACCTCTATCGTCTAAAACACAACCATAATAAGAAACATGGGCGTGACCGAGATAACAATATAAAAGCATTTATTATCAATTCCTTAAAATTGAACATCCTGACTATTGAATAACTGAAATCGCTTCATTGCCTTGTCCTTCTTCTTCTTAATTATTTTAACCCGCAAATCTTGGACAAGTAATCGATATCCTAATAACATTAGTCATCATCTCTTAATGGTCAACACTGCCTTGTTGTAGTTGTCGTCCTCCGTCTATATGTCCACACATTGCTCTAAGTTTTATTGGAAAGTCTAGAAAGTGAGTGAGCTGAATGAATGAATGAAAGAAATAAAAAGAGAAATTGCCACACTAGCTCAGGCACGTCATTGTGATGTAGAGAGAGAGAGAGAGAGGGAGGGAGGACGATAGACGTTGCAAGAGAGAGAGGGGAGGGAAATTTTGAACTTTGTCTACAAAATATTTGCCATGAAACGCCATGTAGGAAAAGTTTATTTATGAATCTACTAGTTTTTTTATGAAGTTGGAATGTTTCCTATCCCACATATAACAAGAACTCTATGAGTCAGCGTCGTGACGAAGTCGACGTTTGTTTCCTTTATCTGAGCTCTTCTTGACTTATGTCTCTTGTCTGCTTTCAAATTGAAAAGTTAACGTCTAGCTTAGATGCTCAAAGTACTTTCAACATCTATAACTGTTTATATATTCTTGATCAGTGCTGACTGATATCTTGATTTACACACATCGCTCACACCTTTGTTGCGCATTCCCTCACAACACTGTTTATCAGTTTCTAATCTTTTTTGGGGTGTTGCTCATTATCTTCGCGTAGCGTTAGAATAAGAACAGGCCATACTGATTCTTCTGAGTGATGAATTCCAACCGTTTAGCATGTGTAAATATTGGTCTGCCTGCTTCTTCTTGTTTGTTAATGTTCAAATTTTTCTTCTCTAATAGATATACTTCACAGGACACTTTACGCTTCTTCCTCTGTATATTGATATTTTCTTTTTCTGCATTGATTGTGAACGAATATGCGCGTGTGTGTGTCTGTGTATACTGATTTATAAACTGTTGAGATAGCATCGATCAATACTTCTCTCTTGGTTTAATAAGCATATTTGATCGGCAGTTGCTATTAAGAAGTTCATATGTTGTCGGCGACGAAAATGATGGACAAGACCAAGGCTTATTAAATCAGGTGCTGCGCTTGTCTCTCCTCTCCATATAGTTGTTTCTCGAAATTATTTTTAATTTGTCCATCCAGCATCTTCTTATTTCGATTGTAAACCTCTTGTTTCAGCTCCTTGAAATGCATGAACTAAACTAGAATCTGACATTTAAGGAAATCGCTTTGAGCGTGTATATCGATTTCAAAAATTACACTTCGTTCGCACATTTTATCACGTTGTTCTTCTGTATTTTTTTATTTCCGTTGTCTTATGTACGCCTTCGTCGCCTCTTCTTCCGCCTGTTATGTTTTTGAAATCTTCAATCTTTACAGATCTTTAAGCCTGAACCGTCTATTGAGAGAGGAACGAGCATTCGGAGTCTGTTTTAGCTACATTTTCATTTCTTGTTATTTATAAAATGAGTACTCCAAAGGAAAAGAAGGTGATTCATCCGTAATTCTTGTTGTACTCTTCATTCTGATTATTTTTAGGTCCGGTTGCGAGGTTTACTAGGGAGATGGTTCTCACCGGGAGATAAAGCTGAGAAAGAAGATCTCGATGAGGTTCAAATTAGTCAGCCTTATAATACAGTCCATCGAGTCCATGTTGGCTACGATGGTCAAAAGTTCAGTGGTCTACCTCAACCATGGATGGATATATTGCTCCGAGATATTAGGTATTCATGCTGTTCTATGTCCGTCTATCCAATTTCCTTGTTTTACAGCTTAGCAGATCAAAAGAAGAACCCAAATGCTGTTGTTACGGCTCTCAAGTTCTATGCTGCATCTCTAAAAGTGCAAGAGCAAACGAAGTTTATGACTACGAATAGTGTTTATAATCAAAGCGATGAGGTGCTAATTGACATTGTAAAGTTAATCTATTGCCATTGAATTCCAGGATGTAGATGATATTGATATCCAGTTGACTGGGCAAGTTACTGAGCATCTTCGAACGCTCGACTGCGCAGGTGTTAAATTCATTTTAATCCTTTGTTAACTCGTTCTTTTAAGATTCGAATTCCCCAGCTTCATCTTCGCGCGCATCAAGTAGTCGCATACCTAGTTCCGAAAGATCGGTTCCCTCTCCTGCTCCGAAAGTACCCAAAGGTTTTGTGAAGTTACTTTTTGATTGTTAATCTGATTGCCGTTCTAGATGATTCACGGCTACAGAACGCCATCAACTTAAACATACCACAACCACCACCAATCCATCCTCGTAATCAATTACCCAACCCTCCACCTCCACCACCTCAGAGAACGAAGGTAAGCTGTTCGATTTGAAGTTTAGAGAATACTTTCTGTACTTATAGGTTGTGCCAACAGTATCTGAGAATGGCGCGCCTGTTCCCGGGGGTCCGAGAATACCCCCGAAAGTTCCACCTAAGCCAGCGGTAAGCCAGTTAATATTTAACTTTCCCTCTCTCCTTGAGCTCCTTGTGTGTTTGTCGCTTGTACGATGTTGCTTCTTTTCCTGTGCCGATTTTTCACATTTTGTTTCCCTGCATGATATTATTCCACCCGATTGATCTTCCTTCAGACGAGAATTATAATTCGGAGGGAAATTAAAAAAGGCCGAACAACATAATCAACAGTTGAAAGAGAGGGAAAGGGAGAATGAGAGAGAGAGGAAGGAGTTGTAACAAGAAATTTAATGCTTGAATAGCAATTTGCGCCGCGTTTTTTAAATTTCATATTTCTAATTATGATGCGCTTGATGATGTTTTCACTCCCAAGAATCCTGTACAAGAGATGTCATTGTCTTGCCCTTAACTGTCATAAATTAGAAAAATGAGAAAACGAAGTGTCAGATTTCTTAGTTGAAAGCAGGCAAAAGCTGAGAGACATATGGGTTTGTCTTTAACGAGTGACATTTTGGAAGAGGGTCGCTGAAGGTTCTGTGATCTCTTATACTCCATCTTCTCTTCGTTCTTCTCAATTCCATCTTTTTCTGCTTATCACACTTTCGCCAATTATCTTTTATGGTGTCTGGTATGTGAATCTGCCATTTATAGATGACATAGTTTCAATTTTGGAGATGTAAGCTTGATCGTCATTGACAACATCGGTAGGGGAAAAGCCATGTATTGATATTGGAGATGACTGGCCTGCTACTTGCTGATGTTGGGGTGATAGTTGGGATAGTGGTGGGGCGCCTTCGTTGCAAACCAACTAACCGGTCAGGTCTTCGACTCCTCCCATTTTCGCGACGAGACCCGTAATCTCTTCTACAGCCAGTACGTGTTCCATACACCTCTAAGCTTATTCTTTGCTGATTCGTTGTTTTCGGACCTCCTTGTTGATTCTACTTAACTTTCCCTCCCACCCGACTGAATCCGGAGGTAAAAAGTCAAACAGTCGCTGGCAAGCTCGGATTGACTTCGGAGGCAGACACTAATTGTCGTCACTGATACTACTGCGCTAGTATTAGTGAAGCAGCTACTAGTCTGCAGCAACTTTTGGCTGATTCTTCTTGCAGCAGCAGCCATCAACTCATAGGCAATTGCATTGCCCAATTTGTTGCGTTCCGCCTGTTTTCATCCTGTATAGCTGATTGATTCAGCGGCCTTGGATCGGCACCTGTCGACGGCACCAAGCCAGCTGACTATCTTCTGTATTGGCTTGTGCTTATCTTTCCTTTGCCCCTTTAAAGGAATTACGTTTTCATTGTGGCGTGCGACTTATTATTAGCCATCTATTCCTAAAACGAACATGTATGACTGGACATATTCTCCGAAGCGTCTTAGCTTTTTCTCGCCATGGGGAATGTTTATAAATCACATTGAGAATGAACTTCTGGTAAGTGGTCTTGATCGTTCTAGTCCGAACATTGATTGTAAAGACTTAAAATCTTTATCAGCGTTGAAGTTATTTTGTTGAGGAAAGACACAGCTAGCCTTGAGACATCTTCAGTATCTTTTTCGCAATCTTTTTAGAAAATTCTGTAATTTACGATAGGCGCACACTTCGAATTATAATTGTCAACGGGTGGAATTTCCCAAAAGTAAATCCAAAAATGGAATGAAACGTTTTGTTGTTGTTGTCTTATACCTAAAGCTCATCCTTTATTGCTTTTTGTGACCTTTTCATTGCTTCGTGTTGTTTAGCATCTAAAATCCTCCTCGTCTTGCCATTCCTCATCCATAAATGGCTTCTCGCATGGATCTGAGACCAATTCTATTGGACATTCGTTATCCAATGGAAGTGTAGCTAGTAATGCTTCGTATGATGCTGATTCCATCTCTGTTTCCAATGTAAGATTTGTTTGCTTTTTTCCAGCAGCTTCCGGCTTTTCCTACCCCTCAACTTTACCTTTTATTTTATTTTTTGTTTAGAAAGAAAATGCTAGTCAAGTAGTTGCTCAGACAACAGATAAAAGCTCCTTAGATTCTGGTGTTGAGGCAGTAAGAGTACGGAGTCAGTCGAAAGAAAAGATGACAGACGCACAGGTGATCATCATATGGCCCTTTTTGCTGATAAATTGATGTATTCTTTACAGGTGTTACAAGAACTACGAATGATCGTTAACGATGGTGATCCTCGCTTGAGGTACGAAATGAAGAAACAGATCGGTGTCGGGTACGTTTTTTTTCTTTTACATCTCATAAAAAAACGAAAAGGAGATATCATTTCACTTATGTGGCATTGAATGTTTTGTTCTTTGCTTCCTCCTTTCCGCCCTGGAAAAAAGCCATAATGATGATACATTTCCATTTCCTTTCTTGATAATTCCATTTCTCTTTCGTTGCTGTGTTCAGCCATTTTCTCTTTTAACTTTCCCTCTGAGAGATGCATTAGCTCCCCTGCCGCGCACTGTCTGACTTTATCCCTTGTTTTTCATGTTGTTCTAGCTGGTTTTATAGCCCCCCCAGCACACCTCTTTCTTTTCGTTTCTTGCTTTGAAATTATTTGTTTTTAAGATTTAGTCTTCCTCTCCGGTACTTCGATGAAGAGAGAGAGAGTCAGAAGGAAAAAAAGTGTCAGAAGCAATTTTCCTTGTTAATTCAAAGACAGATGAGATCAAGTTTTTTTGTCGAGAAGTGCTCTCATATGGATGGGGTCAGTTCCAAAATCAACAAAGTGCATTGTGTTAGGTCATTGAACTTGTGACTGAAAGCAATCCTCCTATATTTGGAATCCTGAAGTTTTTCGTTTCAACACACCGAAATGATTCAGGAGAGAAGAGAGCGAGAGAGTAGGAGATTGAGAGAGAGAAATGAGAAGTAGGATGAAAAAATATTGTAGAAGAGAGAGGGGGGGTGCATCAAGCTGTTGTCATTATCCTGGTAATGTCTCTATTAGGGCAATAACCAAATCAAAGGCTACATGTTGTCTAGATAATAACAGGACGACGACAATGTAATTCGGTGATTGGGTGATAGAGAGATGCCTAAAGTCTTAAGACTGGATTGGAGAGCGCCTGTTTAACATGTTGTTCTTCTGTTTTCTTACAAGCTATCATTCTGCAACTATTTTTTCAGAGCTTCTGGAACTGTTTTTATTGCCAACAAAAGAGGAACAAATGAGGTCGTTGCTGTTAAACGGATGATTTTCAAAACACAACCCAAAAAGGAGATGTTGTTGACGGAGATTAAAGTAATGAGAGAATATGTTCATCCGGTAGTGTTCTTCAATCCCAAATGACATCTGACGTCAATGTGTTTCAGAACGTTGTCAACTACATTGAATCCTACTTGGTTGAAGCTGATGATCTCTGGGTTGTCATGGACTATTTAGAAGGAGGAAATTTGACTGACGTAGTTGTCAAGACTGAATTAGACGAAGGTCAAATTGCTGCTGTGCTGAAAGAATGTCTGAAAGCTCTCAACTTCCTTCACAGGTTAGTGTTACGAGTGTCTTGTGTTGCTTTTTGGGAGTTACAACGAAAAGGAAGAAGCCTTATGTGGTCAAATCGGATCATGTCATTAGCAGTTTGATAATCATTTCGATCCGTATTAATGACATATTCCTTTTTTCTGTAAATTAACGACTGAAAGACGTGATTTGTATTAAAGAGGATCTTATATTTTTGACTTTCGAAGGTAATCTGGTTCTGTTTCAGTCATTCAATTGTACATAGAGACATCAAGAGTGACAACGTTTTATTGGGAATGAATGGAGAAGTCAAGTTGACGGATATGGGATTCTGTGCTCAGATACAACCTGGCTCCAAGAGGTTCCTTATTGCTTTCATTCTTGCTTTCAACTTCCTCATTCCAGGGACACTGTGGTTGGAACTCCCTACTGGATGGCTCCTGAAATTTTGAAAAAGAGAAAATATAACTATAAAGTAGATATCTGGTCATTGGGTATAATGGCTTTAGAAATGATTGATGGGGAACCGCCATATCTTCATGAAACCCCAATCAAAGTCAGTTCTGCAACATCCACTCTCTTACTAAACATCATCCACATTCCAGGCCATATATCTAATTGCTCAAAATGGCAAACCTGAAATAAAGAGGAGAAATGACTTATCGAAGGATTTCGTAGATTTCTTAGATGCTTGTCTGGTTGTGGAACCAGAACAGAGGTAAGATATACAGTTGATGTGCTCATTACTCATACTGCTAACTGTTTCCAGAGCTGACGCCCAATTCTTATTGGATCATCCATTCATCAAACAAGCCAAGCCCTTAAGTAGTTTAGTTTCATACATCAAAGCTGTGAAAGATTTGAAAGACAAGGGCAAGTAGTAGTGAAGGAGGACAATCCTTGCTTGCTAGTTAGTAAACATTGGAATCGTTAGACGTTTCGATAATTATAATTGTGTCTCTATATATGGAGTCTTCCTCGGTTTTATATCATCATTACATGTCAAATTCTACGTGTTGTTTATTTTATACAAATTGGTGAATATTAGCATCTAACTTTACTCCTCGTTATTAATAATACTCATATTCTTGGAATTATTATTATTTTTAGAGTCTGTCATCTCTTTCTATATCTCCCTCTCTCTCTTTCTCTCTCTCTCTCTATACATCTTCATATATATATATTTATATATATACTTCTATATCAATATATACATATTCTTTCTCGTCATGTCTTCCATTCCGTATATGGCAGCACCTTGATAAGCTCATCGTTTGATATCATCCAACCGTCTCTCATTTATATGTCTCTTCTTCATTGTTGCATTTTGCATAAACACACAAACACACAAACACACACACACATCATCATCATCGTCAATATCAGACTTTTCTACTTTTCCCAACTTAAATTAAAATAGGTCCAGTCGTACGATTTTCTGCTTCGTCCTTGCCTTTCAAATTAAAGTTTTTTATTCATAGCCTTATTTGTCATTATATTCGAACATATGCTTGTTCATGTTTGGACAACTCAAATATCATCTGCATTGCTCCGGTATACACATAATGGACTCGTCGTCGTCGTTGTCGTCATCATCATGATGATCATTGGGTAGTGGCGACTGTGTGTTTGACAGGCTTTTCATTACTGCCAAACTTTCTTAAATTCTGGTTTAGAAGTTACAAGCTCTGGACCGGTTTGAATGGCATAAGTTTCACGTCTTCTTGTCCAAGTGAAAGCTATACTTTGCTTGTCTGTCAAAGCATTCTTCTGCGTCACCAAAAAAATGTTCTCAAATGTGAAGTTTGTCCAATAGACTAAGCAAGGAAATATCGTGTTGGAGGGAAGTATTTCTTGTTTCCTTCGGAGCCATAACCTCAAAAAACGAAAACATACTAATGGGTTTCGATCACATTTACAGGTCTGCTTTTAAATACTTTGGCTATATTGTTTTCTTCCTTGATTATGAGGTTACGTCCAATCAGACTAACCTGATGTCATCCTCTTCCTTCCCACTTAGGGGATTCTGTTAGACAGACTACCTCTTGAGTAATCCATTAGTTTTCATATCTATTAAGAGTGGAGTTTACTTCTATCGGTTCTATCTGTGTTCGAAGCAGCAGGAAGTAGCATAAACTGCAAGTGTGTTAAAAACATGGAAATGAAGTTGATGATGCATATGAAGCTATGATAATCGTGTTTGGAATAGTCGGGAGTGGCCTATCTTCACAGTTTGGCATTGCACTTCTCGCATTGCCATCATGACAGGAATGTAGTTTGAAATTGCCATCCAGTTTCGCAATATTTCAAATATTTGTCAATGATAAAGATAGCTGGTGTACCTTGGTCAGTTAGTTGGTACAAGTATAGCAATTAGTATTCTCCGTCTCTTGGCCCCGCCCTTGTTAAGTTGTTTGTCTCTCATTTGGCGAGTGAGCCTGGTACTTTATAGTTGTTCGCTTAGAGGTGTAGTGTGAGAGTTGACAGACTGACATATACTCTTGGTATTAGCAATCAACCCAATCGAAACTCATTTCGACTTATCCTAGTTGTAGTCTGATAGTTGGTTTTTTAGGTTTTGATCAACGAAATATGAGTGCTTCGAGTTTCTGTATGAACAGGAACAGCCTGAGGCTCATTGCTGATCACCAGTATTTGTGACAAAGGTAATGAAGAGAAGAATAATGATTGAAAAATCCGTGAGGTGATCTGAGTGATGTTCGAGTAAGAGTTCAGAAACGGTGTTCAAAGAAATCTTGAGACTAAGAGAAAAAGGAATGTAGGAACATGTAGAAGACTGGCTTGATAAAAGGTATTTATGGTTGATCAAAGATTTTCTGTAACGAGCTAAACAGTACTGAGAAGACTTTGTCGTGCTCTCGTTCGAGAATAGTCGTTCAAATTTGGCAATTTCATTCTTCTTATTCTTCTTCAGAACATGTGTAATGACAACAACTACAAGCCTTTGGGCAGAAATAGGAAAGAGAACAGACGACATGAGACATTGAAACATGGGAGTTGAGAGGGAAAAAAGTTTGAAAAGCCTTTTAGGAAAGAAAGCGTGGACTGTATTTTTCGAATTGGAACCCGGTTATCTCAAAGTAGTTCAGAACTAATTTTTATCGTCAGGTAACCTGTGACTTACTTCAGCTCTGTTCACTTCCCTTGGGAAAGAAAGATAGGTGATTCATGATGTTTGGATGTCATTATTGAATTTGAAGACCAAGTTCTCCGAGTCTGAAACGGGAGGTGGACTGTAAATAAATATTTTGGTTAGACTGTTATTTCGTTGTCATTGTTATGAATTTCTTCTTTTTTTCTTCATTTTCTATCATTTTGAACTATTTCTGTTTGAGTTCGATCATCATCCTGCTAATAGAAATGAATAAAGATTAAATAGAGCATTTTAGGAGATTTTGTCATAAATGTTTAGAGGCCACCTTGTTGCAACCCTCTCTTATTCCAAAAGTTCTGATCGTGTCGGGACTAATTTGAACAATATTTCAAATATTTGCTTGAAATTTGCATTTATAGATTAATAACAAGCCTTAACTCTTTTAATTCTCGTTGTTTTTAATTATATAAGTTGCAAATTGGATAGCATTATGCTCTTTCGCTTTCTATGTTTGCCTGATGTGAGCTCATGTCTGGTAGGCAGAAGTGGAAGATATATGTGATATTGAAATAAATATTTTGTTTTTGTTTGTGTTTTTCTCGTTCTAAGTTGGTTGAATCCATTGTTACTTATTTTTTCTGGATCAAATAAGGTCATAGCTTAGGAGTTGTGTTTAGGTTGTTCTCAAGATAGATGTTCTGATTTCGCTTGTGTTTCACTTACTGGATGGAGGGAGCTTACTTAGTCGATTGTGTTGTTAGAGGTTAGATTGTGATGATTTGGATTTCAGTTGATAGTTTTGGAAGCGCTGGTTACATCTGTTTCTTCCCATCTCGATCAGGTTGTGAAGAGTTTTGACAGGAAAAAATCTGTTATCCATCGTTAGTGTTCTTATATTCATGTCTGTCTCATTTCAGGTATAAAATCAAAGAAAAGTTTATTTAACTTGGACTACTACGAGAATGGTTATGTGTCTCGGTCTGTTTCTGAGAGAACCTCACCACTCGCTCGAAAAGAAAATGAAGAACGAACTGAGTAGGAGTTTCATTCCGAGCAGCGATAATCGTGAGCGGAATACCTATTACTCAAATGACGAAAACTCAGCTCAAACTTGATGATTTGGAGGTTTCTTTGTTTTGTTTTAACTATCATTACCAGTTTAAGAAATTGGGATTCATATGAGGGACGAAATGTTCTTTGTTTGAGATACTCTTCAACTGATATATGCCGGCGCTGGTTTAGTTTTGTTCAGTTGGGAAGAGTATAGATGTAGAGAAGCTGTTCGTTCGCTACGTTCAGACATCTTCGACTCAGGTAACTCACAGATTGATTGACGATTCTTCCAGATTGAGCTCATTCTTGATAGGGTCACTGTTTGCTTCATGAGCGTTTGTGATCAGAGCGATAAGAGTGGTGAGGATCGGGGAGGAAGGATGGAAATTAGAAGTTGTTGTAATTACGAAGGAAGTGGTACATATTTGGAAATCAGATATGAACTGTTGTAAAGGAGCCCTTCTAAATCATCCTGGTTTCTCTCGTGAGGATGGAGAGAGTTGTTCAGAACGATTTGTACGTTTTCGGTGAGATGGCACTCCTGTCAGTTCTCTGTGATGTTTAGGGTTTGGAGTAAAGTTTAAAGATGAATCTGTGGCCGAGAATGAAGGGTAACTGTTCAGCGGTCTTGTTTCTATGCTTGTTTCACTTCATTGTTGTGGAAGGGTGGAGCCTCTGGATGTTCTCTGTTATGGAATTCAATCGTAAGTCTGAGTTGCAATTGGTTCTATCTCTCTAGATTTACAAGAGGAAAGTAATCTGACCAGTCGAGGATGGCATCGACAGCAAAATTCTGAGAACAGCACGCTCATCTCAAGTGACTTGGCAGTTTATCGTAAGTCGTGATTCTCTCTTCCTCGGATTAATCGTTATCTTTTTAGTGGTTTCGGATCTGTTCACTGCTTCCTCGCCCAGATAAGTCTGTCAAGTCAAACTACAGTTCATTCAATTTGGATTACTATGAGAAGAGTTATGAGTTGCACCGTGTTTCTGAGACAACCTGACCGCTCACTTGGAAAGGAAATGAAGAATGAACTAGGTAGGAGTTTTATTCCGAGCTTCGATAATCGTAGTAAGCGGCGGTGCTCATGGAATACCAATCACTTGAATGATCGTAACTCAGCGCGATTTTTCGTTTCGAGTTATCTATGCGTTGTTTTGATTGTCACGGCCAGCTCAAGATTCTGGATTTCATCTTTCGGGACCCGTTCACTTCATTTCAGGTTGAACATGCTTAACATTAGGTGTATAGGCTTGCTTCATGAGCGTTCATCAGAAAAGCTATGCAACTCCAATCGTAAGTCTCAATTTCAATACAATAACTTTACTTCATCTTATTTTCTGTTCTTTGAAGAATATTCACTGCACCCTTGTCCAGTCCTATCCAGTCACGGAAGAATGAAGAGCAGATGGGATTTAGTGTTCAGCTGATGTTTCTGAAATTCTGATTTTCCAGATTCACGAGCGGTAGGTAATCTGCTACTGTTCGATGGAGGATTAACAAGGACTGGGCTGGTAGTTGTCAGCATATCGCTTAAATCAAAGGACTTGGAAAATCATCGTGAGTCTCTGTTCTCTCTTCCCCGAATTAATCGTTATCATTTCAGTCGATCCAGATGTATTCACTGCTTCCTCGTCCTGTTAGGAGTCCTTGAAGTGAATGAGTAGCAGGTAAGAAAGAGAGTTCAGACTGAGCTAATAGTTTCTTTTAAGGTTCACGAGCGGGACGTATTCTGCTACTGTTCTATGGAGGATCAACGAGGACTGGGCTGGTAGTTGTCAGTAACTCGTCTGTTTCCGAGGGCTTGGAAGTTCATCGTACGTCTCAGATCTTTTTCCCTCGAATTAATCTTTATCATTTCAGTCGATCCAGATGTGTTCACTGCTTCCTTGTCCCGTTAGGACTACTTGAAGTGAATGAGTAGCAGGTAAGAAGGAGAAATGAGA